ACGGTGTGAAAAGTGAACAAAAACAATATGTGAAGAAATATGTCTACTAAGCCTATCTATACGGCCTAAGGTAGAGGAGTGTGAAAGCTTAGTGGGACAGAACTTTCTTTTGCTTTAGCTATGATGATTCTTGAAGAGTAAAACTTGTTTTCATGTATTTAAAAAACATAATTTTAATAAATGTTGCTCATCCATTTATTTGGGATCATTAGAGACCCAAAGGCTCTACAAATTCATGCCATCTTATTTTAAGAACTGGATTGATATGCTGTCCCTTCCAATCTTCTGGCAAGTAAACCAAGTTTACTGAGAAGATGCATATTTCCATACAAACTACACATGTTTTTGTTGCTCCACGAGCCCAACAATGTTCAGGGTAGGACTGGAGGATCAGGAATCTGGCCTAGCACTTACAACTGCTTCCCCACCCACCTCAGATTTACACTAACAAAAATAGTGGGTGGTAATTTATCTCTTTATATGCTTTAATGACAAATATCAAAACAGTAGTCACAGATCAGTGGAAGGGATCTGATACCAGGCTGAAGCAAAGCAACAATACAGATAGTGAGCTAAAAATTATAAGGTGAACTGAGAGTGCATTGCAAACACACAGCTGATGAAAGGTGAGGGATGAGAACACGACAACAGCTACATAGGTTTATCATCCTAAGGTCCCTAAATTCAGCAAAGGCAAGTCTCTGTGGCAAATGATGCTTGGGACTAATATGGCAACCCTTTACAGAACAAAATACCACTGAAACAGAAGAAAAGGAAACTCTGCTTGCTGACTCATGCAGTATGACATCCTTGGTGGGATCTCGGAAACAGCATGCAAGGCACATGCTTTATCTTTAAACTACTGTCACTTCCCTATAATGTTATATAAGCCAAAGGTAGCCCTCCTGCATAGCTGATGGTGAAGGATAATAGGAATTGCAGCCTAACAAGAGCTAGAAGGCCATACAGCTCAATCCCTTAAAAAAAAGGACAATTGTTGCAGCATTCTAGAAGTGTTTCCATCACAGCAATGTTCTGTGTTGAGTTTATAATATCTTATGTGATCTCTGCAAATTTACAAACAAGATGACTTGGAATTGTCCAAAACTCTTATTTAAATTCACATGTTATAAAATTTGGAGATATGTACGAGGAAGGAGCAAATGGTTTGGACAAACCTAATGGCCAAAAAGCATTGAAAACCCATTACTTGTAACATGGAAGATTGCAGATTCTGTGAAAAGAAATGTCAATACAACCAAGCTGTTGATATCAATTTTTACAACTTTAATTTGATATACCAGTCATCGGACTGCAAAGCCAGTGAGTGATGAATTAGATAATTTTTAGGTTTTAAGCCCTCCTGCCATGTTGTGCTTATCTAGTAATTCTTTAAAATCATCAAATGGGACCACCGAGTTTACAGGGCTAGATATTTTCACGTGAGTGAGAATAAAAGTTCTTGGATGTCATACAGAGTGCTCAAAGTTAGTACTACAAACAAATAATGTGGCAGTAAGATGACAAGGTTGCTGGATCAGTCCATAGGAAGGCAAAATACAAGTACTACTAGCAATCATATTCACAAAGGAACAGATTAAGGATGAAACACCTCTAAGAAGGGTAGACCTGTAAAATTCACGAGCACTGAATTGTATACAGTGGACCCTTGACTTACAGACGGCTTGACTTACAGACTTTTTGAGTTACAGACTTGCAGCCTGAGAATTGACTTACAGACCAGAAAAAAACCAAAATGGAACAAAAACGGCCTGTTACGGGATTAATCGGTTTTCAATGCACTGTAGGTCAATGGAGAATTGACCTACAGACTTTTTGACTTGAGAACCGCCTTCCAATATGGATTAAGTTCTCAAGTCAAGACCCCACTGTATTAAAATATACAATTTATTGCTTTGCTTGTGAGTTAGTTCTGCAATAAACCTTTTCGTACACTATGGGAACCAGGAAAATATATCCATACTAAGATTGTGGAGAAGTTTATAGAAAAGTTGGCCAAGGCTCAAAGGCCATACTCTGATCCTGGAAAAGGCTGCTCAGTGGAAAGAATGAATAGGAGTAGCCCTAGTAGCTAAGGACTTGGTAATTTTCGATTTTTACTTTTTCCACTTGCTTCCTTGTGGTTCAAGCTGAGCCATGCCCAGTTTTCTTCTTGCCGTGGTTAACTTTTCTATGACTTGTTTCACTTGGTATTTCCCTTTCTCTCTGTGTTTCACATATTCTTTCTAGATACCTAAATTTTTATAGACCTGCTCATAACAATGCTTGAATGCTAGTGGCTAGGGCAGCATTTTACTGTGCAAACATATGGGGAGTAGTGTTCAGATAGAGCTTAGGAAAACTATTTTCTGGACTCTAAGGCCTAGACATTCCCTGCAGACGTGATCATGCTAGCTGACAAAATGTAGGTGTTGTGATACAGAAGAGGACCTTTCCCAAGCTCTCAAGCCTCACTTCATATGAGAATGGCAATTAGTAATATTTATTTTTACTTGAAAGGTACTTAACATTCCGTGCTCATCTCTTGAATACACATTCTTGCCTCTGTACATAATGGATCTCCACATCTTAAAATAGAGTAGCTATTTCACACACACTTTGTCAGATGTTACCTTAGGGTGCCCTCTACTGGGTGAAGCCCCTAAGTGGAACACATTTGGTGTCACCACCTATGTTCAGAACTAGCTGACAAATATAAAAAGCATGACAGATACCTAATTATTGCGGGTGTTTAATTTCTCCCCATGACTAAGTTCTTCAGTTTCACAGAAAAAAGTTTCTCCATAAAATATAAAATTTCATAGCAGTCTTCCCTGGGGAAACACAAAACTATGTTGCAATTTATTACTCAGATATATGTTTTTGTCTTTGTACTGTATTAGAAGAATCGCCATAGCACTTTAAAATGTTGATACCTTCAGATGAACACCTGAATAAGCCTCAAACCCTTATCCTGTAGTCCAGGGGTCTCCAAACATTTCAGAGTGAAGGCTGCAACATATATGTTCCAGATTTTCGAGGGCCGAACACCTGCATGTGTATGCATGCACACCTGCACACCCACCCGCCTGCCCGCACGCACTCCTGCCTGCCCACCAAGACAGATAAAAAGGCAAAGTGGGCCAGATGTGGCCTGCAGGCCATAGTTTGGAGACCCCTGCTCTAGTATAACAGATGGGTGTAAGCTGCTCACTCCAAAATCTTACCATACAGCTCACTTCTATGCTTTTTTAACCTTGAAGCAAAAGCCAAATGTTATACTGAAGCTCACTTTGTGCTAAACTGGAAAATGCAGATATTGTACCTTTTATATTTACTATCTCTACATTTTGTCTTTCCTCTTTTGAGCAACCTTTTCATAGGACGATGGAGGGTAGCTGGCAGGGAATGTACACCAAACACCATACTGAACTTCATTAGTAAGAAAACTCCTTCAGGCCAATAGGCTTATCTTCTTCTTTGCGGGCAGGGTGGGGAAGTGGTGGACAGGTTGCAGTTTGTATCGCACAACAGCTAGGCTAGAAAAAAAAAACTATGTTTATGGTGATAATATGTATACATGAGAATGACTGCAGCATATAAAAGGCCTTGATCTCATTCCCCAGACCGGTTGTAGGAAATAATTTTAAGTTGACTCCATCTTACAGTAGAAAGAAGTCAGAAAAGAATGAGTAATGATCCACTAAGCACTATGTTATTATGCACTAGTCTTTAACTGACAAAGGCAGTGCTGCTCTGGGGACTAGGATGAACTCAACATGCACTCCAGGACTCACCATCACAGAGCACTCGACAGTATCTCAAAAAAGATAAAATTAAATATGATTTTTCAGGATGCTTGTAATATAAGTCTTAGCACAAAAATAAGTCCCAGTTCAGTGAAACCCCACCCTCCACCACTGTGCAGCAACCAGAAGAAGATGGCATGATTGTATCTGAATAAATGTAGATAGTTGTGCATGAAAAAAATAAATAAAACATCCCCTGAAAGTAAGCCCGAATGCATTTTTGAGCAAAAATTAATACAAAGCCCAGTCTTATTTTTGGGAAAACACCGTAAAAGCTGAACTATATTCTGCTCCCCTGTGCAAAAATGAAAGAGCAAACAAGCCACTTTCACTGTCTACTGATAATTACATTTGAGTTGAAAAGAATTAATGTTTAGTAGGGTTGGGGGATTGGCAAATAAAGTGAACAGATATGTACATCTATGATTTGTGCCTACGATGGGGAAAAGACAGGTGCCAGTATGCAGCCTCAGGCTATGATATAAGATGAAGAGGGTCTGCTTTCTGACCCACTATCTTTAAAGATTCAGAAGACAAATCCAAGGCTTTGTTGGTGGTGGCACTAAAATTTTGAAATCTTCTACCTGGTGAAATGTGGGACTGCTAGTTCTTCCCAACTTTTAATGGTTAATAATTCGCCTTTTTGAGAACACTTAGTTTCAAGAGTACATCATTACTGTGTTTTGATAAGCTTTAAACTATTCTAATTATTATCTGAAAATACTTTAAAGAAAGAAAGCTATATTAAAAAGAGGTAGGCGTTACAAAGTAAAAGATCCTATGCACAGTTGTACTCATGAAAGGTAAGATATAAACAAAATACAGTGATTAAGCAGATCCATATTTTCACAGTCTGTGCCATAAGAGAAGATCCAAATATTACTGCTGTGTTTCCCACTCACCTCAAACCTGGCTATCAGCTAACATGTCATGCAAATTACTAACTTTAAAAAGAAGAAGAAACCACCAGCAAATCATCCAAGATCAAATTTGACTCACCGTGTAAGCAAAAATCTAACATTATCCACCTTGTCTTTTCCTCCCCGCTCTCCAAAATTAATAGGATAATGTATATTCAAATTATCAAGCTATATACAGTTAATACACAATTTGTATGGTAACACTTATACAAACTAATTTCAGATAATTAACAAGCCCAAGGGAATTCTGAGTAAATAAATAAGAGTCTGGTTCCATCTTGCATCTGCACTTTATTGTATGCAGAATGATAGTGAAAGTCAGAAAACTACAACATGGAGGTACAGGTAGTGAGTGGGCCCAGAGGCTACATACCCACTTTGGCACAACTGATCAGCATAATTTATACAAACACTTTAATAAATAAGTAAACATAAAAAGACAAGCAGCAAGGATGGATTTTGGGATGCTGAGGCACGCTGACAATACTGGATATGCCAACATTATCCCAAATACACCACAGCGGACTGGGGGGAGGGAAATATCCATTCCTCCCCACAGGCAATAGTGCATCCACAGTTTACAGACTTGTTTCATTATTTCACCCAGCCATAGACAGGAGAAAACCCACAGTGTGTTCCTGTCTTTATATATGTAGGAATATGTCTGAAACAAGATTGCTATGAGGATAAAGAAGTGACGGCCCATTCAGAACATTATGGCACAAAAATGGTTCTTCTATGCAATTTATTTCATTGGTGCAGTAGCAAGCCCATACCAAAATTAAAACAGAATTATGAAAATACTGTTACCTGAGAAATCTCTCAAGACAGAAAAAAATCCTTCATATTTAATTCACAGTTAGTATAGTATATATTCCAGATGTACCAGTCTACGTTTCTTCTGACTGAGCCAACTGACAAATTTTCATGCACAACACAGTGTGTTGGAATAATTGCTGTGAATGAAAATGCCAAACAGTGACAGCAGTGGCCATCTAGGCAGTTTGCATCAAAAAGAGAGCCTCAGCTCATATCATTTCTGAGCAAGCTATGCTGTTCCTTATAAACACGGATCAATATACACACCTACAAGAACTACCCAAAGTGCCATTTTGTGGGGACAAGATGCCATTTTTAAACTGATCTCTGACACTCCCCCTTTCTCCATCAACAGCTCTAGGAAAGAACCCCCAATAATAACATCAAGTGACAATGGATGTAGATGAAAGACAAAAACACTGATACAACTGTTGCTTCATTTAAGCTTATGATCAAACATCACTACAAGCACACCACGGTGCTTCAAAATAAAGCAGACAAGAACAGTAAAAAGGCCATTATTGGCAAATGTAAAACAAAGTCACTAATCATGCCAAGAGGTGGAAGAAATAAGTACATAAATAATAAATAAATACTGGTTTTGTCTGTAAATGCCCCGTACTTTCACATTAGAATTCCTGTTCCCTTAAAGCTGCCTAAAATTAAAAAATGAGCTCCAAGAATGAATGAGGAACTAACACCCCTCTTTTCATTCTTGACCAAACATTGGAATGTGATGAGCCCAAGAAGCATGGACAGAGGGAGACAGAAGTAGGAAAGAGTGGCAGTCTGGAATGGGACTAGGACCTCTGCCTACCCACATCTCTCCTTACTCATCCAGGCCTGGTATCAAGTCTGCAATACTGTCCACATAATAGTGAGGCACCAGGTCCTTTGCAGCAGGGCTGTCACTGGCCATGTATGCCTGTGCCTCCTCTAGGTTGGAGACACCTGTCAGGGTCAAAACCGTATCAAGACCACAGTTCTTGCCAAACAGGATGTCTGTCTCCAGCCGGTCACCAACCATGAGCATGCGGGATGGATCCACACCAAAGCGCTCCACAATGCACTCGAACATGTATGTGTTTGGCTTCCCAATTACTACTGCCTTCCGCCCTGATGCTGTTTCCACTGCAGCAGTGAGACTTCCTGTCCCTGAGAGAGAGAAGACACATGACCACAAGTCAAAAGATGAGAAACCTGGGCATAGCCAATACATATAACCAATCATTAGCAGAAGACATACTAGGGAAAGGCATAGTTCTTCAAGATGGGGGGAGTAAACAAGTCTAACTGTCACTGAGGTGGCAATCTCTACTTAGCTTTACTATTTCAGGTAGGAACTTGTGTGACTGAATATTCCCTCACATGAAAGAAAAGAAAAACCCCTCCACTAAGCAAAGTAGATGTCAGGTTGACAGGTCTAAACATCTTCCCATGTGCTAGCTTCTACATGCAAGGAATGATTTTTCTATATGGAGGAGTAAGTTACTCATCTAAGTTTCACCTGCAATCAGGTACACCCCAGAGATAATAGTAACTTTACTGAGAACCAGGTACTAATACATAGATCAAAGTCCAATCCTGATCCACTATGAAAGAACCTTGAGTTACCTCAAAATTCTTAGAGGAAAAAAAACACCAGTTTTCCAGAAACTGAAATATCTAAATGTACTGAATAACTAAACTAATAGCAAATTAATGTTTCACCAAGCCATATAAACTTTACTTTATTCTGTGTACCTGTATGATCCCCAATAAATCTATTGATTTAATAAAATTATCACAAAATTTCATGTTAACTGAACCTAATGCTAAAGCATTACTGATGTTAGTAATGGAGGTTTCTGAAACAAATTTAAAAACCATATTAGTTTCATCAGGACTATCTTGGCTAAAATGCCTGGGGATTAAAACAGGAAATTTGAAGCAATCTGCAAAACTGTAGAATTTTTCTCAGATGTCTCTCAAACTACCGAGAGTTTTTAAGCTCACTTTTATTCTGTAATGTGCTGCTGATTTGGGATAGATATATTTGGGGGTCCCCAAGAAATATAAACCAGCCTGAGAGAAGCTTGACTGTGCTGACAAAGTAGGCAAGGTTACAATTCAGGAGAAGGCAAGTGGACTCACCCTGACTTATTCAAGCATGTGGCTCACTAACTTATCACCTGGATAAATATGAGAGTCCAATTTTCTATTCATAGATAACCTTAGCATAAATCCAGCTACAAGTACTACCGTACAACTAGCCAGGCCACCACTAACCAGCAACCCAAGTTCTCTTAAACAGGGGTTAGATAAAAGAGAAATCTTCAGCTCAGGAGTGGCTTGTGGACCAAGCAAGGTGTCATCTTACATCAAAAGTTCAAAGGGCGCAGCCCACTTATGACCTGGCTATGCTTCAGCTCCCATTTTAGGAATAGTATATACTTGACATTGTTTCCAATAATCTATGGGTACCTCTACACACCATTAAATATGAACACATTGTGTTAGCTAGTTTGACTCGGATTCTAACATCTCCGGTTAACATAGGTGGTGTCTTCAAGAACACCATGTAAAACTAGATAGGGAAGCCACTGTAACCCTAACAAGAACAAGCAGTAAGCTGAAACATCATTCTACTTGCACCGCAGCAAATCTATGGCATACATTAAAAACAAAAACCTATCTAGACTTGTTTGAGAAGCCTTGAGAATCTATTACCCTACTTTTAAACACAACTCCCGGGCCTCCTCACTGTGATTACTCAACATCTAAAGCCGAGGTGCAAATGCCACTCTGCTTGCTTCCCTCGCTCCCCCCGGAAACAGAAATGGACGGTTTCCCCTAAACCTCTCCAATGTCCTTTCGGTTTGCGGGTCACCTTTCCTGGCTACCCCCAAACCCCCACCCTGCACATGGGTGGGTAGGAGGCCTCCACCTACGCAGATATGCGGAGGGAGGAAAGGAGCATTCTGCACACGAGCAGGAACAACCCTCCCCTGCTCGAAGGTCCACCACCCCCGGGGCGCAGGCGGCCCTTTCTGCCTGCCTGCGGCCTTCTCTCCCTCACTCACCCGGGGTGCGCTGCCCGTTGCTCAGCGGGTGCCAAGGGTCCGGGTCGGTGGCCACCAGCAGGCACTGCGGGTCGCGCAGGTAGGCGCAGGCCTCCGACAGCTTGGCGAAGGTGAACTGGTCGTCATAGCCGACGACCACGGCGCGCACCGGGAGCGTCTCCTGGCCCGGGGGCGGCGGCTCTTCTCCGCCCTCCTCGCCGTCGCCGGCCAGGGGCAGCCCCGCGTCCCGAAGCTCCCCGCGTAGCCCTTCCCCGCCCAGCACAAAGACACGGCCCGGCGGGGAGGCCGAGGAGTCGCCGGCCCCGGCCTCTCCGCCCAGGAGCCGCCGACGAAGGTAAAGGGCGGAGCAGAGCGCGGAGCTGAAGACCTGGTCGCCTCGGACCCCCCGGAAGCCCAGGCGGGAAAAGCGGCGCTCCAGCTCGGCCACGGAACGGCGGCTGTTGTTGGAGACGAAGAGGGTGGCCTTCCCGTTCCGGCTGAGGCGTTCCAGCAGCTCAGGGGCGCCGGGCACCGCCCGCTCTCCGGTCCAGAGGACGCCGTCGCAGTCGAAGAGCACCCCCTGCGCCTCCCCCAGCACCTCGCGCAGGCAGGAGCCGCTCAACCGCCGGCAGCTCGCCATGCTGGGACCCCCCGCACTCGCCACCCCCTACTGAGCAACCCCGCCTCCTCCCCGCCGGACAGCCAATCGGCGGCCCGCAGCGCCGTGGAGGGACAGAAGCAACACGTAAGGGGCGGGGCCGCCGACCACCAATCGGGGCGCTCCGAAACCAGATGTTTCGACGCGTGGAAAGCGCGAGAGGCAGAGAAACCGGGAGAGGAGGCGGAAGGCAGGGCTGTGTTGCTATAGCAACCCGTTCCAGCGAGGAGGAAGGGAAAGAGGATGCAGCTCTGCGTCCTCCGCGGAGCCTATAAGGATGGCTGTTCTTCGGCTTCGGGAGGGAAAAGGAGGCTCCCCCGAACAGGAAGCAGCAGCAAAAAGCAACGTCAAGGCGGGCCAAAATGAAGGGACACCTGGTCCAGCAGCCCCTTATCCAAAGGGGTGTTTGCTGCAGCACTGGCTCTGGCAGATCGCACAGCTGGAAAAAAAGGCGCTAGGAACAGGGAGGGTGAAAGAGATGATTATAACAAGTTTATCTCATGAGGTCACTTGCCGTGACTCCTTTCCGGGCTTTCTAGGTAAAAGCGCTCAGAAGTAGTTTACTATTCCCTTTTCCTGGGAGCGCCCTGAGACTGTCCAAGTTGGCCCAAGGCTACAGGGGCTGGCTGTACTTGTATGAGGCACAGTGAGGAAATCGCACTGCCAACATCGGTACCTCGCTGATTGAACTATCCAGCCAGCACGCAAGATAATAGGTTTGCAAAATTTATTTGATTTATATCCCGCCCATCTGGTCTATACGACCACTCTAGGCAGCTAGAGTGTTCTCAGGCTCATTTCATCCCCTTTATGATCATGAGACCACATTTTAGGAAACTGGAACCATGACTATCTTGGGCTATGGTACAACATATCTCCCTCTTACCAAATGCATGGGCTCTGATGAGGAATCACAGACAAATACAGCAGGCGCTCCTGTTTTTTTCACACAAGGTAACACTAGTAGCAACAGTATACAAGACTCAGTTCTTTGTCAGTGGAGAGAACAGGCAACTTCACAGCTATGTCTGTGTACGCTAAGCTCCTGAACATGTACGATGGAAGATTTAATGTTAATTACCCTAAATCTCTTGATATTGCCCATTATTATATTTATGAATTAAGTTGTGGTGCTTCTGACATGCACAAAGAGAATGTCAGGGGACTCATCCTGGAAACATTTGTTTATCTATAAAAAACACTTCAATTTACAAATGAAGGCATTTTGCCTTTAGAAAGAGGGATGCTGCAAGATGCTAAAGGAAGAAAAGTCAGCATCTAAAGTTGCATATAATAAATTCATGAAAGCATATTTAATTATATCTTTATTGAACTCTGAGATGCCACAAAACATTCTCATTTTGCACAGTTCTTTTGAGAACAATCCAATAGTTAAATTGATCCTCAGTGCAAGCAAAACAGTTTTTTAATGGAAAAATGAAGAAACATAATTATTCTCATATTAGGGATAAATATGACCCCACTTTTAAAAAATAATTTAGTAGCAATGTATAAAAATAAATTGATGTTCCTTCAATCCTAAGAGTTCCAAATGTTAACAGATTCTTATAGCGTTTCTGCATTGTAAGTATAAATGAGCATTAACAGTCCCAGAAGCCTTTTTTGAAGACATTATTCAAATGCATTCCTTTCAAAGAAAATCCCCACAAAATAACTTTCCTTTTTTTTGGGGGGGGGGTGTAGAAAAGTTATGAGTCTTGGACTATTTAATATTCGTAGGATGGAAACTCCTACAGCAGAGCTCATTCAGAATGAATACAAAATAATACCCTTAAGAAAAAAAAAATAGAAGTCCACTATACTGAAAAAGGCTGTGCTATGCTATCTTCCAGGCTACTTAATTATATACAAAAATCTTGCTGGTGTGTATGTTTGTAATGTGTGGGTGCAAAAGACCATTTGCTCACAATTCTACATCTTTATTCTGTGTATGGTGTATGTGGGCCCTTGATATTCTGGGGAACATCAAGAAGATGATGTACCAATGAGAGGACAAGGACAAAAACAATGCGGCGGGGACCCTGCAATAACAAACCAAATGAAAACAAATGTCTTAGGCACCTTAAAGCTTCAATTGGCATAAGCTTTCAGAGAATAAATCCCACTTCTTTAGTTGCATCCCAAGAAGTGGACCACAGTCCATGAAAGCTTATGCAAAATAAAACTTGTTAATATTTAAGGTACCACAAAACACTTCATTGCTTTTGATGGAATAGATTAATATGGCTATCCCCTTGGAAATTTCTGCAGTGACTTTTGATGGAATAGATTAATATGGCTATCTATCCCCTTGGAAATTTCTGCAGTGGAATAACATAAAAAGGAGTCTTTTATCAGGAGGGGAAAGGGTGTTAAGAAGCAGAAGCGCATGTAAGAAGAGCTATTCTTTTAAAGGCTGCAGACATGAAGACCTGCTTCCACACTGGGATAGCAACAGAAGCCAGTATGGGCACATATTTCTCTCAAGGAGAGATGACAGCCAATAGGCAGTGTACTTGACATTGCACCAGATCTTACACCTTTCTTAAAGACGGGCAGGCAGAAGCTATGTTACTGGAGCAACTTCCCCACTTCAGTCATTCTCCAGAGACTCAGCCTTCACATCAGATGTGGGTAGAGAACAACTTCTTTCCACTGATAATGGTCCATCAGGCTCTGTTGCCACAACAGTGGACTCTTTGGATGTGTGTGTCCCACAATTATCTGCAGGAGGCTTTTCAGCTGGAGCTGCCTCATTGCTTGGAATTTCTGGAGGCAGCTTTGGGGAGGGCAGAGCATTGTGGCTTTGACGTCTGGCTGGCTGGGGTGGAAGTGGTGGCGGCACAGAGGGAGCGCGCACGGGTCCGCCTGCTGTTTTTCGAGGTAGGGCCTTAGGAATGGAAGGAGATTCTGGGGCAGGAGCCTGGGTTTGAAGGTGCACGGGAGGTGGAGATCGAGGCTGGGCTAGGGGCAGAGGAGGTCCTGTGGGTCGAGGTGGAGCTACCCGTTTTGCTGCAAAGGAGAACAAAATAATTCAAGTTTTGAGGTTGCTGAGATAGGCTGGTACTATATTTTACTTTTAAGGCTGGTAGTCTCATCTTCCATAAATCTGGCCAATCCTCTTTTAGGGCATCTGAAAAAGTGGCCTCTATCACTCTGTCTTGTGATAGTGAATTCCATCATTTAGTTGTGTACTATGTAAATATGTAGATCCTTTTATCTGTCCTAAATTTCCTACCATTCAGCTTTAGGGAGTAACTCAAGCTGTAATATTATAAGGGAGGAAGAACCCAGGAAAAGGTCCAGTTAAGAAATGTGGAAAAACATACTGTACTGCAGATTGCTGCTTCTCACAATAAAACCAAAAAGCAACCACCCTCCCAAAGAAGAGGAAGAGGAACAAAAAAGAAAACGCATAATATGGGCAGAATTGGACTCTGAGATCTTCTCCTATATATGGATATAGCCAAACATGCCCAACTGCCCTATTGACCTCCTGCATATACAGCTAGTTTCCAGCCATGCAGTTCCAAAGCTACTTAAAGAATGCATCACAAAATCAGTCACTGTTGACAATGTTTGTTGTTTGTGTCCAGTCACACTTAATAAAACATAGTCAAACACTTTCTAAGGCTTTGCACTCCTATGAAAAAATGTGGGCATGGGAAGCAAATGCTAATGGCACAAAGATCTCTGTTGCAAAAAAGGAGATGGTGAACCAATAGATTCAGTAATGCAGCATGTAGGCAGTAAGCCAGTCTTCCTAATCTAGTGCACGTCAATTGGGTTGTGGGCAACTTTGCACAACCTGCAGCCTGCATAACAGTTAGCAATGGATGGGGACATATCTGGTGACATTATATTGGCTACAAAGATTGACAATGCTAATTCTTTAGACTACAACTTCTATAGTTCTCCAGCTAGCACTACTGGCTATGCACTTGGGAGGGGGATTCAGGGTACTGTAGTCCAAGAAGCAACTTTGGCACGATGTAGTTGTATCAGTACTAAAGCAGGTCCTTGGAAATCAATGGGATGTCACTTAGAGTGAGATCGGAAGATGATATACTTGTGTTTTAGACTGCTTATGGCATGACCTGACCTATTTTCTGCCTAATACATGATATACAGTACAGGGAATCGCAAACCAGTCTAACCCTGCTCCATACCCAATATAGATCTTTTAGGTCCAGCAGGAACTGGACTGGAATAATGGGGACTGATTGCTTGCGCATTGAAGGGGCATTTTAATGGAGATTGCACCCAGCAAAGTGATATTTGAGGGTCCCAAAATTGCCACGAATGAGAACAGGGTTAAGGGTAACATGGTCACAGATCAATGGGGAATGCCCCCCAGGAATGCAGTGGTTTGGAAACATTGTAATTGGCATTTTCCAAAACAGTTGGGCAAACAGATAACATATACTTCAGAAGAAATGCTTAACATAGAAGTCCTTGTAAGAATCGGACTTACATTTCCGTGAAGCTTCATCAGCAGGAACCGTAGTCGGCGGGGAGACTGCTGTTTCCGTGGAAGGTTGGGTCTCCTTTGAGAAAATGTCATGGGCTGCCTCAGGATTTTTCTTGTCAGTGTGAGAAAGGGTTGTAAGCTGTTTGCTTTCCTGTCTCTTGGCCCTAGAAAGGTGCACACCAACAATGAACAAATAAAGAAATGATAAGCATAGGGCCTTTCCATGATGTGCTCCCTCCTGGACATAATATTTCCTTATTATTAATTTATATTACTGTAGACATTTTTATTAAAATGCCCGTGTAAAAGAACATTGATATAAAGCAAAAACAACAAATAATATAAAAATGTAAAACTTAATAATGTTTTATTATACCCTAATAAAAGTGCTACATAGAAGAACATGATGGAGCACTGTGTAAAATTTAAAATAGGATCTTGTAGCTACACCTAATGGAGAAGGTATCCCTGAATTTCCTGGTTTTTCAGGTTTGTAAATGAAATCATGATCATGCTAGAAAAAAAGAACATGAATGTTCAGGGTATCTTTTTGGAGATTGTTGTGATAAGGAAGCATACTCTCTTTCTAGAAATCGGCAGGTATAGATAATTTGTGTTCCTGCTCTATATGTTACAACATTGCCCCCTCAGATGAGCCCAATTGCATTTGTTATTCCAAAGCAAATGTACAGTCCTGATCTAGATCAAGACCATCATGTGCAGCTAGGGGAGGATTAAGCCAACCTCTCCCCACAGCATACAGTATTTTTTTTTCATTCTTAGATTATTCCCCTGCTAAGCCTAGCTCCCTTTATTTATTATTTATTTATTTATTGGACTTATATAAATAAATTTATTGGACTTTGCAGATGGCACCAAGAGGGAATAATTTTCCGTTTTGGTTGCAACATAGGGATGGGACAAAATAAGGGAGAAAGGGATGGTGAAGGTTTAAGCTTCTCTCTCTTCACAAATGGTAGTTCTGATTTGTATGAAGCCACATGTATTTATGTTGAAGAAACAAGGAATACAGTATAAGGTTAAGGTGCCTGCTATGCATTTAATAGTATACATTAAACAGAACCCTCAGAATGCAAGTACCGGAATGTAAGACCTGTCAATTCTGGTTTTTTTGGGGGGTTTTTTTGGTGAAGACCCATGTACCTAGGTCGCACTGCATCAACAACAGCAACTAAAGACTCATAAAAACTGCCATTCATCCTGCTTTAAGCTATAGGTCTTGCATGTATTGTATTGCTTTTTTAAAATATCCAAACAACATTTTGTTATATCAATTAGTCAATCTTTTTCTGTGACTTTCTAGTTCTTTTTGTTCATCCTGGTGTGTGGGTTTTACTTAAAAGCCTACTTTGTACTGGTGTTGTATGGTGTGGTCCATCATAGTGGACTTTTGGTGGGCATGCAGTTTTGTAAGGTATGGGGACATCTAATCTCACCTGCTTCTTACTGGGGTTATCTCCATATTTTTTATTTTGATTTTTTAAACATTTTACAATGAGATTTGCACCAGACAGTAAAGAGCAAAGTGGCTTAGCGCTGAATTGTTTACTCTTTCTCATCTAGCACTGCTACTGTTATTGTAGAGCATCACAAATTGCATCCCCCTATCCCTCCACCATGGTCAAAACGATCTCACAAGCTTTTTTGTGGTTGTTTTCATCTTATGTGTGGATGGAACACTAGAACATCCCAGGATAAAAGATCTTGAGCATGTGGATGCAAAAGTTCTGAACTATGGAGAAGCAAAAGCAACACTTCAAATCATCCAGTCTGGGCAAGCCCTGATACTACTACCAATAAAATGAATCTCATTTTATCTCACAGTTCTAGGCAGAACTCTTGTTAAGAGGGTTACACATCAGATGTTTACCTTTCCCTAGATGATGGTGAAGCAGGCTCAGGAAAGGGAAGAGAAGATGTGGGTTCTTCTGTAATGGAGACTTCTCTAGGTCTGATGTCCAAAGGGGGAGCGAACAGGCCAGAGACATTGAAATCTATATCTTGAGAGACAGAAAAAAGAATGAGAAAATTCAAAGGGTTCAAAAACATGTGTTTTGCTGCCTTTGCACTGTTAACTCATTCAGTAAATTGCCAGATTTGAAATAAACAGCAAGGGTTACAGAGAATTGTGTGACCACTGACTCCTAGTTGTTGTTTAGTCATTAAGTCGTGTCAGACTCTTTTTGACCCCACGACTCTTCATAACCCCATAGTTCAGACTTTTTTCCTTTCCGGGTTTGGCTTCCCCCATCAATCAATCAATTACAAATCCCATAGCAGAATTGTTAGCTGGAGATGGAGGTTCCAACATATGGGATTAACTGTCAGGCTGGGCAACGACATCAGTCTTAACACAGGATCTCATGTCTCCACCCACAGGAGCACATATATTCGCAAGAAGACTAACTCTACACATAACCAATACTGACCATCTTCAATGGCACATCTTTGGCAGAACAAAGTACAGTCTTAACAAAAGGCTGCAGCCTCATTGTCCCACATAGAAAGTCACTCATCAATTCCTATTCTCATCTGTGGAATGCTTGATGTTGTTAAGCTGTAGCTTCCAAGTACTCTGCCCACTTGCTGTAATGGGTAGCTATTCTAGCCATTACATATAGAGTTCATTTTTTATGGAGAGGTCTATGGGTGCATTCCACCCACCCCTCCCTTTTTTTCTGGGGAAATAAAGCTTATTTTCAATAGGGATGGGCTTGGGACTTAGGGCTTGGTACCAAAGACTTGGACTCAGACTTGGGACTCTGACCTGAAGATTGGCCAACATCCCTGTCTGTTCTAACACAATGACCTGAAGATTGGCCAACATCCCTGTCTGGGATGAAGAATACCAGGCTAGAAGGATGGAATGCGTCTCAGCAGTAATTATGACCATATAACATTTCCCCGTTTCCAGTCACACCAGCATATCTCAAACTTAGTTCCTCCTAATCCCACCAAGTAGGACAGGTCAACAGAGGACTGGTTACCTCCTGGGAAAAGGATTTCAGCATTTTGTATTAAGGGTTCCACAACTCCAACAACTTGGATGGAAGATACAGAAGCCATATCTAGCTGCTCCTGGCACCTAGGAGAGAGAAGTCAACATGGATATTATTAACTAGATCATAAGAACACAAGAAGAGTTCTGTGGGCTGCGACCAATCTAGCTGAAAGGCCTATCCAGTATGCCCTTCAGTGTCATCAGTGGCACAACGGCCACAATAGAAAGTGTCCTCACATATTGTGCCATGGTATGGTATGCTGGCTTAACAACCATGGACAAGAAGGCACGATAGAGGGTGATGAGCACAGCACAAAAAATCATGGGCTGCCCCATAACCTCACTGGAGGAAATCACCAGATCCTGCTGTCTAAACAGAGTGAGTAAAATCCTTAGGGATGATTCTCACCCGGGACAACACTTCATACTTCTACCATCGGGCAAGAGATATAGAAGCATAGCCTGCCGGACAAATAGGCTGAAAAATAGCTTCTGTCCATGGGCTGTCAGACTTCTAAATGCAGCATAACACCATGACTAGACTTAATACAACAGACTCACAGTGCCAGTGCAACATGCAATATTGTACATACCTGTGAAATAATGTCTATGTATATATATATATATGTTTGTGTATGTATGTGAAAATGTGTGGCTAGCCCTGGTATTTGTGGGATTAGGGATTTGTTTATAAGCCTGGAGATGTATTGTGTGTTTGAATGTATTCTGTGTTTCTGTACTTTGTGTGGTTGTATCAATGGAGGCTCATTCAATTTCACTGCACACATGTCGTGCATTGACAATAAATGTTGTTGTTGTTGTTGTTGTTGTTGTTAAATACCAGTTTGTTGGGTAATACAAGCAGGAGGTTGCACTGTTCAGGGCCCTCACATCCTGCTTGTGGCTTTCCCAGAGGTATCTGGCTAGCCATTTTGGGAATAAATGCTGGACTAAACTGCCTTCAATTTGATTAAGAACAGCTCTTCTTTTTTCTTTAGGAAAGTATAAACATCCAGGGAGGGCTTTAAAATATTAACTTATTATTAAAGATTTATTTTATTTGCTTGGTTACTTCTATTTGTTTATTTTAATTAATTAATTAATTAAATTTATACCCCGCCCTTTTAGACAACGTCTACTCTGGGCGGCAAAAAACCCATTTGGACACAAAACCCCATTCAGTTTCCTTCTTTTCTTAGGGAGACTGGGAAATGCAAGATCCTGGATCTATTGGAGAGTTGTCTGCTTTAATAATAGATGGCTGGAAATCACATGTTTTACCAGACTTGCTAAATTCTGTCTTAGATGAGGCTTCACTTCTCTCCAAACCTTGGAGAAAGGGAGAAGCTGCACAAGTTACACTTCTCCCATCACACTATTCAAGTCACAAGGAGAGTGGCACCTTCCAAAATCTTCTGAATTGTAGGTTGTGAGAATATCTTTATTAAAATGATACAATATTCTCTGTGCTAGCTTTTGAGATAAATCCATAAGATAGATTCTGGCAATTGTATGGCTGCAATGGCATCCCTTACATTTGGAGAATCTTCTCATTTCCTGATTCTGAAAGAAGGTGCCTTTAATGGTGTATGCCAGCCTACCTCATCTCACATCCTATAATGTCCATCTTCCAAGATATTATGAGAAGATACTATGCTGACTAGAACTATGGGATTGTCCAAAACATATTGAAGGCACATAATTGGATATGCCTCCTATCTGCCATGCTTAGTGTGATGTAGCTATAACACAGTGCTGGGGAAGCTTTGGCAACTCAATGGCATCTCCTCCCTTCGTACCTCACCACTGGCCAAGTTGATTGGGCCTGATGGAAACTGAAATTCAACCTCTGGGGAGTCATAAATATCCCAGCCCTGCTCTAGCAGGTATACTGCTTCATTCTGAAACAGAGTAATGAAATGGATGCATGCCTATTTCTAAAGTGTTCAGGTACTGGATGCATGCCAGAGAGATAAAGGGATTTTTCCCCAGGAGCATTATACGTTACCCTTCTGTTGGTTGGGGCCACAACAGGTTGGGTCCCAGGACAATGGCAATGTTGCTAGGTGTCATTTTATTCACTTCTTGCTGTTCAGCCAGCTTGGCGAGAAAACGAATCAAGTACCTGTTAGAAAAGGACACTTAGGAATAGCAGGCTGTCTGTTTCATGCCAAAGGTTGTCTAAAGGTTGTCTGTCTGTTTCATGCCAAACAGAAAATTTTAAAAAAAGAGGGGAAAAACTTTTCCAGCATGGAGTAATAGCAATTGAGTTTCTTCTCTTTTTACAATTTCTCTCCAAATATTCACAATATTAATAAATGATGTTTTTGAACTGCAACTCCCAGAAACCCCAGCCAGCACAGTTGGTAGTGAAGGCTTCTGGGAGTTGCAGTCCAAAACTCCTGAGTAACCCAAGGTTAAGAACCAGTGGTCTAAAGCAGTGGTTCTTAACCTTTGTTACTCAGATGTTTTTGAACTGCAACTCCCAGAAACCCCAGCCAGCACAGTTGGTAGTGAAGGCTTCTGGGAGTTGCAGTCCAAAACTCCTGAGTAACCCGAGGTTAAGAACCAGTGGTCTAAAGGTTGTCTTACCGGGTCTCCACATCTGTCTGTTTCATGCCAAACAGAAAATTAAAAAAAAAGAGGGACAAAACATTTCCAGCATGGAGAAATAGCAATTGAGTTTCTTCTCTTTTTACAATTTCTCTCCAAATATTCACAATATTAATAAATACAATGGCCAGAATCCTGTCAGTATAACTCCCCAGGCAAAACTTTTAGTGGTGAACTGCCTCAAGTTAAGAAGTCAGAGTAGGCATTTCCTATCACACACAAGTCATGATTCAGTTTGTGACAGGAAATGTACACACTGCCTCCTGAACATGTAGCAATTCTCCACTGAAAAGTTTATGCCAATGAGTTACACTGGTGTAAACACGCAGCCAGGACGCTGGCTATTATTTCTAGATTAAGTAGAGAAAGTAAAAACAAGCTTTACAAATAATACATTACCATATATATTTAAAGCTTTTAAAAAAATTAAATTCCAGAGGCTAATAGGTTGGCCATACCTCAGGTTGTTGTAGTTGTCCTTGGGAAGGTGGCTGCAGGTGTCCCTAAGACAATCCAGGCGAGTCTCTGGTTCTTTGGTACTAAAAAGGATGAAGGTGGAAAAAAATGTGTCGTTCTTTTTAAGAAGAGAGGAGAGAGATCACAGCAGTTTCAAAAGAGATCTGCTAGGATCTTCCCTAGTGTGATGTTAGCCAGATGCATTGTGGGACTATAAGGCCCATCATTCTTAACTCTCACATAGAGGGCCTAAAGCTGGGATAATCTGCTTGATAAAAAATTACTTGTAAAGATTCTTATCTTTATTTTCTAATGGCCCTAGACTTTCCAAGTGGTGTCTCACAGTTAATTTTCACATTCACATATGATAAGAGGTTCAAGATGGGGTACATACACAGGGCTTTATCCTCCCCAAAATGATGTGAGGTAGAATAGTTGTGAGGCATGTGGCTAACCCAAGTTCAAAGAGTGAGTTTCCTAGCTTGAGCAAGGATGCAACACTTCTCCATTCAAGCCCCCACACCCTCACTCTGGGAACCTTGGCAGAAAGCAGGGCTGTCATGCTGACTATTGAAGAGAAATAATCATTTTGGAAACATGTATTAAATTCAAAAGGTGGTTGATTGCATTAGGAAATCTATTTCTGGAGAATGTAAGAAGAAAACGTTATTAAATTGCAGATGCTGACAGAGCTAGCTTTCATTGCTGACAATTATTTTATTTCTGGAGAATGTAAGAAGAAAACGTTGCACTAAATTAAATTGCAGATGCTGACAGAGCTGGCTTTCATTGCTGACAATTATTGTGTAGAAGCTATACGAGCTGTTTGTGCATAGCAAGGGCCTCATAAAAAGGAGGTTAAATATAACAGTAAGTAATCAATCCAGGTCGTTTGCTAGTTACGTCAACATAATCTTAGCACTGAACTGAACTCATAATGTGTGTTAGATGTAAGAAGAATGCTTGTCTTCCCTGGCTTGAATTACCTGGCAGCTTTGAGCCAATCATCGTAGAGTTCAAAGGTCATCAAGGGCTGGGGCAGTTCTCTCAGGTAACATTTCAGGGCACCTGAGTGGAATTAAAGAGATGTGATTTTAAAGATGGTGCAACATACATTGCAGAAAGAGATTGAAGCTGCTGCTTTGCTAAGTAATAAGTGTGTGAAGGTCAGGATTCCCTTGAGGTTAATGTGCTGGAGACTGCATGTTGGCTGTGGGTACTACTGAATGAAGTCAGGGGGTAAATGGGGCCAGAGCCAAGAATAAATGAATAAATCCTTCTTCTCTTTCTGCTGCCTTCATTTCTCTCTGCATGTCCTCTTCACCTTCCCTCCCTCTCCCTCTTCCACTCCTTCCTTTCTATCCAGCAGGCTGATAGAAAAGGAGTGGGTTGCTTTTGCAGAAGTCTTTATTGCTTGCTTGCAGAAGACTTCCGGCATTAGGCTAAGGGCCAGCTGCAGCTCCAGGACTACAGAATGCCACCCTCGCTCTACACCATTAAGTGCTAACCTGCCACAGCATGAGGGTCTGCACAGAGTTCATCTGGAATGCCACTGTCAAGACTGTATTTCAGCTTCTTCAGTATAGATGCTCCAGCAGCCAAACGGAAGAGTCCCTATAGGACAGAAAGAAGAACAAGGGTGAAGCTGGAATATCTGAGGTAGAAGGCAAGACTGAGCGAGCCATGAGGGTTATTAGATTTACCTCTTCCTGCATTCCTGATGTCAGAAGCATTTTGACACAAGCTTCTATGGGGAGTGCAATTTCCCGCCCGGAAACCTTCAGGTGAGCCTCTAGAGGCATTCCAAACACCCCTGTTCCAGCTGTTTCCATTGAGAATGGGGAGTCTGAAAACAGGCAGAAGAGTAAAATAATTACGCCTCCTAAAACTCATGGTTTCAGAGTGGTTTTGTTTCTGTACCATCAGAATTAGCTCAACAAGGATGTTTTGCTGTCAGAGGGAAAAGACAAGATAGCCTGTACCCAATGCTTGAAAAATAATCCTTTTTTGGACTACAGCTTGCAATATTTTAGACATTGCCATCCCAAAAATTTAACTTTTGTGCATACAAAAACTGAGAGGACTGCCAGTTGAATCTGACTTCCACAGTGGCAATGCGATAGTGTGCTTAGTGACAAATGTTTTACATGGAAGACACCTGCATGTAAGTAACAGCAGCTGTTCCACTTGGAATGTACGCATGCCAAGTCACAGTGCAGGAAGCTGTAGCCAATCCCAGCTTACCTCCCTGTGTACACACAGAGCAATATACACACAATCAATCAAATGTGGTGATATATGAAGTTAACAACGGGTGCCTCTCTGTTGATTTGACTATGGCTGAGAGTACTGCACATGGCAGTCCTTTCACTCACATTCCTCAAACCCTTAAAAAGAGGTTGGGGAACCTGTGCTGGGTCAGATGTTGGTAGCTTCTTTTCCTTTGACCCATCCCCATTAACTAGACTGGATGGAGCACATGGGAACTGGAGTCCAATAACATCCAGATAAAACTACTAGTTCCCCACCTCAGCCCTAGCTGAGCATATGAATGCATTGGAAAATATTTCAGTCTGCTCTAGAACAGGCATAGGTGAATTTGAAATATTTTTCAATGATTATATAAAGGTCAATGTGTATCAAGCCACTCTTTTGCACTTTCCCCCTTGTCTCCTGGGCTTCTACTGTTTTCTAATCACGATGATTAGAATGTTGTGTTCCCTGTATGATCATGTGTTTTGTTGACTTTGGGTCATTTTCTGGTGTCACACTGTTTGGGTGTGATACTTTGGGATAGCAGGAACATCCACCCCCACAATTTCTCTCTCTTGTTACCATGAAGTGTTTTTTTTTTGCTTTAAAAAAAAACTATTGAGTCTAGTATTAGATCACCTTATAGTTGTATTGCTACATTAGTTTACAGCCAGATCATCTCCACACAGAACAAAAAAGGTAAAATTGAAAATTCTGACAACTTGCAGTGGAATAAAATGTTTCCATGGTATGTATGTATGTATGTGTATGTAGAACTTATGGGAAACTGTCCCTTTTTCCGTATTGCCTTGCAAACCTTTACACAGTCCCAGAGTCTTGACAGCAGACCATAAAAGGAGAGTCGGAGATTGGCAAGAGGGCAGCATCAAAGGAAGAGGGGGCTGTGGGTGCGGATGGGACTGCATCAGATTGAGGGGCCAGTGTGGACACTGGCACCATAACAACTTGGGGTCTTCATGTGGTCACCTAAACCAAATGCAGCCTCAAAAGAAATTGCAAATCAAGCTGATGCAAAGCCAATTTGCTCCAGCGTAGTCACACCCTGACACAATAGGAACTAACTTCTCTCTGAGAGATGGCACCTGGAAAGATACAGGCCCTTTTGTACCTGGCTGGCTGTTAGTCTCCTTCAGCTCTGCCAAGGTGGCATCCAGCGATCCCAGAGATTTCCGATGAAATTCTGCTTGAATTTCCAGCAACTACCAGAGGGGGAAAAAGACATACACAACTTAATCCTGATTGGACCCAGCTCTTCCTGCATCTGTGAAGAGGTCATTCCTGATATGGCCTCCCTTCTCCTGGCAAATTCTGTTAACCTTCCTGGCTTGCATTCAGGAAGTACAGAGTGAGAGCAAGGAAGGACCAATGGTTGTGATGATGATGGGGCATTTCCAAGTAAGGGTAGTTGCAAGGGAAATGCCTTAAGAGAAAGTTGATAGTCCAGAAACATTGCTGTTTCAATTTCTGAGTGGGAGAAGAGTAGATTGATTTTTTAAACTATTTCTTTTTCTTCTATAAACTTAGTTGCAGAAGACTCTGTCTTGGATTTAGTTTTCAAAAAAAAAAAAAAAAAGCAGGGAAAAAGTGGTTTACCCTTCCTCAGAGGCTATTATTTCAGTTCAAGTAATATATGCTCAAACATATAGGCACAATAGATGCATGAGGAAGGTGAAAATTAGATTGGAAAATACAGTCACAGATTTCCACTGTTGTGTGCAGTTAAGCTCTGAAAAGAAAACAGATGTCTTATATGGAAGGATGAACCCAAGGAAAAACTATCCTAGTCTTCATCAGGCTGGGCACCAACACATTCTGGATAGTGCAAACAAACAAACAAAAAAAAATAACCCATGTACAAGTTCCAAAAGTCACAGCAGATGACCATATGCCAGGTCTGATTTTTAAAAGTAAGTTGACTTACTTTAATAAAATACTGTGCATAGCTGTCCTCCTTAGTTGAAAAGTGATACAGGTCAGCCATGTACTCATCCTAGACGGGGAGACATTTAAAGCATTATACTTTGTTTTAATCATAAAAGCCTAAGCACAAAATATGTAATTTTTTTAAAAAAAACACATACTTAGGTCTTTTTTTAAAAAATTATAAAGCACCCTTATGCCCCCTAGAGACCAAAATACATCTTTTTGTTTCTCTGTAGACTTCCTTAATAAATCTTCACAGTACAGTGGTGCCTCGACTTACGAATGTCCGGACATACGAGCATTTCGAGTTATGACCAGTTCCGGCCACAAAATTTTACTTCGACATGCGGCCAGAGCTTCTAGTTATATGACCAGTTCCGGCCATAAAATTTTGCTTCGACATGCGGCCAGGGCTTCTAGTTATGATCAAAAAAAAGGCAGGGGGAAAAGGCGGGGAATTCAAATTGTTAACCATTGGTAGGCTGCTTCTTTGTGGCTCTTTTGCCCCAATGGTTAGAGAGTGTGTGTCGGAGGAGGCTTCGGACTGCCTGGCTTCTGCTTCTGAGTGAGAGTGTATTTGTTTGCAGGGAGGCTTCCGACTGTCTGGTAAGGTAAGGTGCTGCTTTCTGCTTTTTAAAAACTGCCTGTTTTGGGTGGGTTTGGGCTGCAGGGGTTATGTTTCTGTGTTGTTATTTTTTTTTGCAGCTCCAGTGTCTTCCGATGGGGCTTGCTCTGTTGTTTATTTTCTTTTTAAAGCCCCAGTGCCTTCGGGGCTTGCTCTGTTGTTTGTTTTTGCTTTTGTTTTTTTCAAAGCCCCAGTGCCTTCTGATGGGGCTTGCTGTGTGCTTTATTTATATATATATATATTAAAAGCTCCAGCACCTCCCGATGAGGCTTGTTGTGTAATTTTTGGTTTTTTTTTAAAAAGCCCTAGCGTCTTCCAATGGGGCTTGCTGTGTGCTTTATATATTTTTTGGTATGTTTTTTCAGCTGGAATCGATTAATCACATTCCATTGCATTTCAATGGGAAATGGTGTTTCGACTGACGACCATTTCGAGTTACGTCCATCTTCTGGAACGGATTATAGTCATAAATCAAGGCACCACTGTGCATAGTTCTTAGTATTCTGAATGGGTATGACATGTCTTAAAAGGTATTTTAATAATTTTGAAAGAGAAATGGTTTCATATTAGTGTTTTCCACAAAGTTCTCATTTTTTTCCACCGAAAAAATCAAAAAAAGTGTACTTCTGGGGGGGGGGGAAGCAGGAAAAAATGGCTTTTCTTCCCTTGTTTTCCTTCTGGGCCTACACCTCTCCAGCTATGCCGGCACTCATGCCCTTGTCATAATTCATTCCATTTCAAATTTCCTTTCCGTCATCCCAATTTTAGTGTTTTTTTCTGTTGGTTTCAACCCCTAAGAAGGCAGCCTCCATTCACACCTACTTTGCTCTGCTCAAACCTCCTCTTCATCTCTTCCTCCTCCTCCTTCAGACTTTCCAGCTTGAGGGCAGCTGAGGAGGCTGCTGGACCGGCACTAGAACTGATGCTGTTTGCAGAGCTCTTGGCAGCTTGGTTCAGACTTCGAAAGAAAAGCCAGAGGTAAATGCTGATTAGATGACATTCAAACCTTAGGGAGCAAACTGTGACATAGAAGTTGATTACAAATCTCACAGAGCAGGACAAGCGAATGCCTGTTTTAAAAAGGATGATACATGCCCACATAAACCATTGAGGTCAGCACACCGCATGCAAGTAGCTGTATATGGCTATGGATGAAAATGGTATGGGAAAGCCAAATGAGAACTATTCTAAAGAGAGCGTTATCGATAGCAGTGGTATCATGGATAGCTAATCAGGTACCTTCCCTATGTTTGAGAATGGCAATTTCCAAAGATTCTCAATTACAGCTTTCATAATTCATAACCACTAGTCAATGGTGATAGGGACGTGGTGGCACTGCAGGTTAAAGCCTCTGTGCTGTAAGATCTGTAGATCTTCAGCTGTAAGTTCGAATCCACGTGATGGAGTGAGCGCCCGTCGCTTGTCCCAGCTCCCGCCAACCTAGCGGTTCAAAAGCATGCAAAAATGCAAGTAGATAAATAGGGACCACCTCGGTGGGAAGGTAACAGCGTTCCGTGTCTAAGTCGCACTGGCCATGTGACCATGGAAGATTGTCTTCGGACAAATGCTGGCTCTATGGCTTGGAAACAGGGATGAGCACTGCCCCCTAGAGTCGGACACGACTGGACAAAAATTGTCAAGGGGAACCTTTACCTTTATCTAGTCAATGATGATGGAGCTGATAGGAGATTTAGTCCAAAACATCTGAAGGGCACAAAGGGCTTGCCCCATTGTTTGGTGCACTGCAGGGGCCTGTTGTTTTGCTCTTTTTTCTGCCATTCAGACAACCTGATCATTAGAGTGAACCAATCTGTCCTCAGAGCATCCCTACCTGCAGCTTTTTGAGCCCTTTTCAGGGACTTTTTTTTGTTGGTATTTGTTGGTAGGTAATTTGGTCTGTTTACAGAATGTGCAAATGCTGGGAATGGACCAAGATCAAGCCTTGCAGCCATCAAAGCTGCCAAGATTCCTTCTGCTGTCAATATCTAGTATCATGACATGACTTAATAAATGAGCTACTTCTGGACATTGGCAAGTTGAAAACTTTCTTTGTTCCTCTGTAGAGGGGCAGGGGAAATTAAATTACTACTTTCTGCTAGACTATCACTGATGTACTGAATCACTTAGATTAAATGTTAAAAAATTTTTTGCTTTCGAGTGAAGTGCCAATTGAAACTATGGCTTGTAGGCACTTTCTTGATCGGCACTATAAACAAGGCAAATAATTTTTTTCCCCAAAAAATTAATCTATGTGATTCAGCACATCGGCAATGGTCTAGTAGATGCTATTTTTTTAAATAATTTCACTTCCCCTGCCCTTCCTCAGAGAAGCAGGAGAAATGTTCAATATGCTGATATCCTACAGTGGTTCACTTATTAAGCCATTTCATGATACCAGAAATTGGCAACAGAGGGAGCTGGACTTAAATAGTGGTCACTTGAGGTTGGTATGCTATTTGGATGTGAGAATCACACATATCATTCCTTCTCCTGACCTCAGATGACCCTATTTTGACTGCACCAGATCACTCCAAAAGGCCAACTTTGCCTATTGTAGGTAGAGTGCCAGATTAGAACTTTGCCAAGACTTGATTGGGGCAACTGATACAAACCTTTGCTCATATATATTTTAATGCAGACCAGCCCCCCCCAAAAGCAATAAAGGACCAATGTGTGCCATGGTGCTGACTCGCACAAAAAATGACATTACTACCGTATTTTTCGCACCATAAGACACACTTTTTCCCCACAAAACGGGGGTGGAAAGTCTGTGCATCTTATGGAGCAAAGAAAACAGATTATATTTTCCTGTTTTCTTCTCCTAAAAAATTGGTGCGTCTTATGGAAAGGTGCGTCTTATGGAGCGAAAAATATGTTACTTGATGCACAGCAAAATGGATAGATTGGCTAAAGGAGCCATTACAGAGATATCTGTGTGGATCAAGTACATTTCAACTCATGTTGATTTAGTACTGAAAAAGCAAGGTTTTCTCTGCTCCCATCTGTGTTAAATAGAGTTGCACTTACTGTGCCCTTTTGTCCTTGGGTTTGCTTGTTTTAGCGATGTGATGACTAAAACAAAGTCACAAGCTTTAGCAGCTAGCTCTGGGCAAAACTATCTGCATCAATCTATTGTCCCCTGTACAAATACCATTATTCCCTCCTTTGCCCATGAGAGAAGGGCTTCCCAAACACATGATATATTCCTGTTTGAACAGGTCTACATTTCAACAACCTTGATCCATTTCTTTCCATGTGTCTTCCTTCTTGAGAAAAGCAGTCATTTCCCCACCAAATGTTTTTTAATATCTATCTATATCTATATCTATCTATATACACATACACACAGAGACATATAAACACACACACACACACACACACACACACCACTACATTCTCTTTACAGTACCGGCTTTTGATGCTATTCCAATCTGTAATTACTTTCTGTAGATTCTTTTTGTGTTTCAGGATGGTGGGTAGCTCCTCCTAGAAGAGAGACAGGGATAGAAGAGTTACAGCCTGTCTAGACTGGCCTGTTTTTCAGTGGCCTGCTCACTTCAGTCTTACCCAAATAGAGGATTTGTATCTAAGGAAAGGCAGGAAAGTAACCCCAAGGGAGATCACACAGGGTTCAATGTATAGCAGTCAGGAAAGTAACCCCAAGGGAGATCACACAAGGGTTCAGTGTATAGCAGTGCCTCGGTTTACGTAATTTCTGGTTTACGAACGGAAATTCATTCTAAATAATGCCTCAGTTTACGTTTTTTTCCCCTGGTTCCTTCGGTTTGCAAAGGAAGTTTCCCTGTGCCTGGAGATTTGTAGCACCGCCACCATTGCTACAAGTTTCCCTGTGCCTGGAGATTTGTAGCACTGCCACCATTGCTTGCCCCATTGTTTCAGTTTATGAAATTTCCGCATTATATAACATTCCGGAGAACATATTAATTTCATAAACAAAGGTACTACTGTAATGCAAATGTACTAAAAAAACAACACAAAAATCCTGCCAAGAATATCCTGTTAGAAACATTTCTTCAAGATTTTTGAATCACTTCTTGATTCCCAGATCTGGGAAAGACACAACATGCCTCTCTTTTGGACACTGCCACAACAGCATGCATTCCAGCTGTCCACAATTGTTACACAGAGTCCCTATTTCTTCCCTACTAAATTCTTCTCCCAACAAAAGACATACAATGACATGTGATTTAATTTGTGTAAATGCAAAGGCATTTGCTTGAAAGAAAGGAAAGGGAGGTATGTAAAGGATTTCCACCTTCTGCATCTCTAATTCTGTGAGCTTCTAGCAGTTACTATTTCTAATTGGATGAGTTAATTAACAGTCCAAACACCTGTATTATCTCTACCTCGGGTGTTTCACCGTCAACAAACCAGTCTCTGCCAATTACGTAATTGTCTCCAGCTGTTTCCTATCAGTGTGCTGTTTCATTTCATCTGTGATTATTTAACTGGAACCTTCTAGATCAGTGGTCCCCAACCTGGGCCTCCAGATGTTCTTGGACTTCAAGTCCCAGAAATCCTGGCCAGCAGAGGTGGTGGTGAAGGCTTCTGGGAGTTGTAGTCTAAGAACATCTGGAGGCCCAAGGTTGGGGACCACTGTTCTAGATGGCCATGAAGGAAACATGTGAAAACAAGGCTCTGAGACGTACTTTTGGCCTCAGACAGTTTCATTTCATGACTACTTTGCTTTACTTCTTGTCCTGAACTGATGCTTTCTGTGAGAGCTATACTATTGGCATTTATCACTAGGTTGTATGTGCTATGTGGCATCAGGTCTGATATGACTTAGCCACCCTAAGATGGTTTTTGAGGCAAGTGAGAGCTTGGCTAGGCAGCTTCATTGGATTGGGCTTAAAGGAGTAACTTAAGGCTGGGTAGAAGTCTGGTGTGCCATTTGGTGTGACACTTGCATCACATGGCATATGTGCCTCAAGCAACCTTATTTGCCCTACCACCTAAAACAAAATGAATGTTTTTGTCTTTTTAATTTTTAAAATTTTACTTTTCTTCCAGTTTTGCCTGATATTCAAACAACATACGTTTCAAGTGTGTTTCCTCTGTAGAAAAAAAAATACTGCAGGTTATCTGCAATATGTAGTTTAGTTCAGCTAGCTTCCTGCCATAACGGATGTACCTGCGAATTGCCCAAGTGACTTAAAACCCATCACCTGCTTCTCACCTATCACCATTACCAATTCAAAATACTGTCACATGAAGTGGTAGTTTTACTCTCAACAAATATTAAGACAGTAGTATATCGACATCAAAAGGGATCCCTTTGTGAACAGCCATGCTGGCACAATTTGTGCCTATCCCAGTTTCTTAGGAAGGAGTGTGTACCTGTTACATCAAGGTTGAGGTGCTTGGTGGGGTGGGGTGGAATAGGAAAGCCAAGAGGGCATGCAAAGATAGCACAGAGCATGCAAAAGAAAAAAACAGTGGAAGGTGAAAAGGATACCTCACTCAGTTTATTCAAGGGTTGTAGGACGTCTCGTTCAAGGGCCATTTCAAACTCTGCAAGGATCCTGGCTAGCATACTCTGGATGAAGCAGCTCATTTCTAGAGCTTTCCTATGGACAAAGGAGGAAGAAAGACTTATGATAGTGTATATAGCCAGAGCCAATTTCTCTCTGCTGTGTTGGAAGACGATGACGGTGATGTCCTAATAAAGGGCTACATGACTGGAAGGACAAAGGGTTAACTTCCCATTTCCTCTGCTGTACCTCTGGTCTGAATCCCCACTGCAGCTGCTGTTTACCAAACACAAAGTGATGAATTACTGTCACATGGAGATAAGCCACTATTCTGAATCATTGCACTTGAAGGTCTAAAGAACACAGTGAGGGCTTAATATGAGCACCAGGGCCTTAGCCAGGATCCTTTCCAGAAACTAACTTCAGTTTTGAGATAGTATCTTTTGGGACCAAGGGGTACCTGACCCTGATAAAACATATAGGGACTGCACCTATACAATTACCTGTAGAAAGATCTGCATTTTAGATGCAGGATAAATTTGGGATTGCAATGCAGAATCTGGTGGTATCTTTTCTATGAGATGACAATTGCTCTACTTGTGTTTTAGCATCTCAGTTACTGAAGAAATATGCTGCCCATACTAGGGTAGACAGTAATGTTAGAAGAGAGAGCTGTTCTTCCCAGCCCACCTTAAGTCAGCTTGCTATCTGTAGGCATGGTGGAAGATGCTGCTCATGTGAGATTCAATTAACAGTTTGCCCAGCTTTCATATTTGGAAGGGGGAATGCTATATTATCTGTTATTCCAGGCTGCAAAATGCCTTTAGTAGCCCTGCCTCTCTTGTCTGAAGAGCTGCACTGATAAAGCAGGAAGAACGGCAGCATGTCCAACACTGTTGCTGATGGAAATGATGTTTATGATATTCCTTACTGCTCTTGACTCCTTATTGCAAACAGATGCCCAAGTGGGTAGATGGTACAAAGCAAATTTAATTGTTGAGATGCTCAGTTGAAATAAGGACCCAATATATGGGAAGCTGACCAGGTCAAATGCAGCCTATGAGCACACTGATGAAGGAGATTCACCTGGTCCCCCTGCATCTGTGCATAAATGAATAAAATAAATTCAGATTAATTTGAGGCATTCTGTAGGTAGAAAGGATACCACCATTTTAGAAATAGTTCGTTTTTTCATTTGTTAGACCCAAATAAAAAAAATCAATCAGTTGAATTTCTGCAAAAGGAATTCATCATTTAGAATGTGATGGTGGTTTTGCACATCATCTTTGATTAAGAAAGGGCAAAGATAGCAACCTTCTTGCAAACATAATGTTGCTTACTTATTTTCTATAGAAGAGTATTTTGCTTTCTCCTGAATCTGTGAAAACACAGTAATCCTTACCCAAGGCTGGACTCAGTGTCTAGTTCCTTGAAGCTTTCAGCCATGGTCATGGACAGTGCCATCAAGGGCAACTTTTTCTGTAGAAAATCAGAGGAGACAATTAGAAGGCAAGGACACGCTCCAACCTTTTCCTGAAAAGAAAGAAGTCCTGCTCTGAACCAACACCTATCAGTACCTATGACCACAAGAGACAAAACAATGGAAGACACATCTCGTGCTTTTCAACTGTGTTAGAGGACCCTGTATGTGCTGGGAGCTTTCCTCACCAATACCTATTATTGGTAATAATCCTCATCCTCTTCTTTCTTTTCTCCTACTGGAGGATGGATGGGGCAGCTTTAAATGATGTTGTGTTGTATCCAAACCAGTCCCTGAGATTCCCCAGTGAACAAACTCTTTTCACTGCAATTCTCGTCCCATTTATTTTACTTAAGACGATCTGTTGTAAAAAAAACTATGCTTTTTATTTCTCTTTATAGGACCAATATATTCTAGCATTCTGCAATTTTTTTCATGTTTTATGATTTCTTTATTCCTTTTTCTTTGCACTTCTTTTATTTGTCACCTTCTCAATCCAACAGATTCTTAGCATTCTTCTATTAATAATAATAACAGGTGAGAATTAACTGAAGATCACTTTGCTATTAAGCCACCTGGCCATGCTAGTTCGAAAACAGGCAAGACAGGTGCCCTTCTCCCCACTCCACCCCATTTATAATTGCAGTGTCTTCACTTAATAACTGATTGTCCTGTACAGGTCAAAAGAATGATGAAATTGACGTGACAGGATCCAATTTAGCCAACTTCATTTCCAAGGAAAACTCTTAAAATGCCCTTAAATATGGTTGGGACAGGGACTGGGCAGTAGTCAAAGAAAAATGGAATTTTAAACAAACAAAAAAAGTGAAATGCTGGGGCATGATTATATGTAGAAGCAGGTAGTTTTCTTTTTCTCCCCCCCCCCAAAGCATAAACTGAGTCCCTGTGTCTTTATGGCCAGCTTCCAAGGGGAGGGATCTGATTTAGACTTGGGTCTCGGCATGATGCAGAGGAGGTCTTCTCACCCTGTCCTGTGGTCCTCACTGAAATTGCTGAATGAATGTAGGTGGATTCTGGCTGCAGAACTGCAACGTGATTCTGTGATTAGCAAGGAAACAGAAGAAAAACTCTTACCACCCGTTTGTCCATGTCTGCCCCATATTGTCCCTGGAGGCAAGCCACCAGCCTCTTATGCACATTGTGTGCTGCACGTTTGGCTGGTTCAATTCTTTGTTCAATCTAGTAGGCCAAAACAACAAAAGTTAAAAACAGAAGCAATTAAAAATGAGGACAAATAGTTTTTGTGTTCCTAATGATATCCTGAAGTTTTTACTTCCAAGAACTTCAGAAGCACCAGAGAGAGGTTCATAGATTTGTGCTGTTCATAAATTTCCACAAGATTCTTTCCAGTACTGGACAAGAGGGACCAAAAAAGTAAATAAATACATATTGGCTCAATTTTAAAAAAATGTTTTTCATATATCTCAAATATTTGAAGGATATATTTTTGTTGTACATTGCTTGCGGGCCGTATGGGCAGAAAAGTGGCATAGTATTACTGTAAATAAATAAATGTGGATGCCTCCCTATCTCCAGATTTCATTTGTTATAACATGCAAGTACTTTTATTTTGGAAAACCTTTCTTTTGCTTTGTGTATATTAGCAGGCCATTATCTCCCAGGTGTCTGGACATAAAAGTTACAGAATTTTTGAGAGCTTTTGTGAGGCCATGAAAACTACCAAGAAAGAACTCGTGCTGTAACAGTTTTCAATACGGTCTCTGGGTCTAATATTGCTTCATGATCTCCTTGGACCCATACAATAGCAGCAAAGTCAGTTGCTCCAAGAAGCCTTTACAGCACCTGAATCTTTCTAGGGAGCAGATGAACCCAGTCCAAAAGTGTCCTGTGACTCAGACATGAGCTGAGGGAAAACAAATGGCACATAAAGACAAAGGGCTCTTTTTTCTCCACACCTGTAGGTACAGGTACATACTTGTTCACAGTTCCACCCTACGCCTTACCTGTAGCAAGTCTTCAGTCAAATAATCGGCTGTTTCTTGTGCTCTAGGGAAGAGAGAGTGAAAGGAGTCAGTTTCACCAGGGCCACACAATTGTCCCACTATTGATGGACATCAGTGTTGACTGTTTGCATGGCTCCTGCTTAATGTGCTTGGATGAGATGGTTGAAAAATATTTTCCACTGCTTCCAGGGGATATAATGTACTCTGGACTGGGCTTGAGTGTGAAATTATGTTTAGCTTAATGTGGCCCAGTCTTTTAATTATCTGAAAGAGTCCACAATTCCTTGGGAAATGATATATTTACAGCTTAGTTAATATAACATTGTGTTGGCTAATAGGACACTATGCTACAGTTGCCACACTTCCCTGAGATTTCACTTAATGGGAAGTATGTAAATATAGGCAGAGCAATTATACTACTTTTGTCAGATTTAGGGTGAAGCAGTGGACATGGGAAATGAACAATCTGACTTCAGTAGGGTTTAATTTCAAACTAAATACATGCAGTTGCCAGGAAAAGGGGGAAAAAGTTTAACTTGCACACCTTTATCAGACACACACTGATAATCACCATACAGGAGCAGTGGTAGCTTTCAATGATTGCAGAGAAAAAAATCAGAACCAAGTTAGTACAAAGTAATAGATGCTGGCGGCGCTGTGGGCTAAACCGCAGAAGTCTGTGCTGCAGGGTCAGAAGACCAGCAGTCGTAAGATTGAATCCATGCGACGGAGTGAGCTCCCGTCGCTTTGTCCCAGCTCCTCGCCAACACAGCGGTTCGAAAGCATGCAAATGCGAGTAGATAAATAGGTGACACCTCAGTGGGAAGGTAAAACAGTGTTCCCTAGTCACACTGGCCACGAGGCAACGGAAACTGTCTTCGGACAAGCGCTGGCTCTACGGCTTGTAAAACGGGATGAGCACTGCCCCTTAGAGTCAGACACGATTGGATTAAAAAATGTCAAGGGGAACCTTTACCTTTACCTAATAGATGCTGGCTTTGATGGCTGTGGGATTCTGGGAGTTGCAGTCCCCAAACACAAGCCTCTATTTTTAATGGGTTATTATCAGAAGAGCTGGAGGGACTAGAAATGAAAAACAAAATCAAACAAAAAAAATCCCAAAACCCTATATATAGGGAAATGGATTTTAAAGGATGGTTATAAATTATGCAAAACTGGCATGATAATGCAGACATCCTTGAAAAGATGAGCTACATTTAAGTATGTAGTGAAATAAAAAGCCTTTGCCTGTACTTAACGTTCAGGCAATATATCTGAACTTCCCAATGATTTTTTTTTGTTGAGTTGCTTGCCATTGGAACTCCACATAGTTGGGGTACATGCTTGTGCTTTTAGACTTCAGCTGCAAACCATATTGACTATATAACTGTGGGAGTTCTGGAGAAGCAACTTCAGAACCAGGCCACCACCCTAATTCCTGCCACCACCCATTGGAACGCTGACTTCCAAACTGGAAAGCATGAAGGCATTCCAAAGGGGAGGACCGAGACTGTCAGTTTCTCATAAGGAACAAAGATTTTCATCAGTCGAAACCCATTTCTGTGATAGCTATCTTTACCACAACTTAGGAATTTTCAAGAAAATCTTTGCAATTTTTTAAAAGCCCTGAATTAACTTTAGCACGTTCTTGTGTTCAGAACTTTTTTTCTTTTTCTAAGGAGATTGATTAATAAGGGAGGGATGGAGTAGCATGAGGACGTCTCAAAAATAAAAAGAATATGTGGTGCCAAATTCTTTGGAAGTCTTGCACTAGAGTAAATACAGAGGTTGACCTTTTGCCTTATGTTTAGCTTGGATAAAGAATTTTCATCATTGTGTGACTCTGCTTATCTATGATATGCACTTATTGCCTTCAATGACTGTTATACAACCACTGTTAAGGTCTTCTATTTGCTGATATCTTTTGCATTTCCATTTCCCCTATCCCATTCAGCATATTTATAAATATCTGCCTACTGAAGCTATAGGCCATGGATCTGATCAGATGGGCTTCAGTCCATGCTAAATAAAACTTGTTACTTTTTAAGATGCCATAAACTCTTCTATGGAGGCAGTTTCTTGATTCTAATGTTCTAAAGCATAGGTGTAAAAAAATTATAGTTTGTATTTTAAAAAACTTCTCAAAGGTTCTAATGACAGTAATTTAAGATAAAATGATATGCACATTCATCTGGAATTATGCCCCATCTGGAATTTACTTTTAAATAGACATTAATTTTAAACATTACTACAGCTCATTATGACAGACCAGTTCTTTCTCTCTACTTTATATTGGTCACTGTCAGTTGAGTGCTGATATTATTTCTCTCCATATCTGTTCTTAAAAGCCCACTGGATAAAAAAATTCAGTACTCCACAACATTGGTTCAAAACTTTTTCAAAAAGTTTGATGAAATCCTTTAAAAATTATCTTCTCTGCTGGATCATATTTTTTTCTTGGCGTCAGTAGATTATTAGCACTAAAACTGAAAACTTCTGAACTGAGTGAAGTCTTTGGTAGCAGACATCATCTGCTATGAATTCAAATCAGAAACCAGCTATTTCTGTAAAAACAATTCCTTTTCAAACAGTCTGGAAGAAACCCTTTGAAGATTATTTTATCCATTGAATTTCAGTTTGTGGATTAGTGATAACATTGAAAGCTTCCAATGCCAACATAAGGAAGCTCTTTCTGCTGGAGCGCTGTTCCTGATACTGTATAAGTGTATAAAGTGGAACAAAAGGAAGAACAACAACAACAATAATAACAGCTATCAGAGATGGTTTTAGAAAGCATAGAAAGCCATAGATTTTGTCACATTTCATCATTGCTGATACCAGTATACGTCTTATAGCATTGGGACCGTGGGAAAAATACTGTACTGGAGTCAATACTACACATTGAGGAACAAAACGGAAAAAGCATGATCCCTCTGGAAGAGTCCCTGCTTGTTGTTAAAGGGTACCCCAAAACAGGTAGTTGCCACTACAGGTACAAATGTTCAAAGTAACAGATATTTGTTGTTCACAGATAACTTGAATTGATGAATTGATTATCAGTGGGGATTTTTTTTAGACAAAGTATCCCCCATCCCAAGCCCCCCCAAAGGCTGCTCCATGTCAAAGGAACCTGGGGAGTGGGGGGAGATAGGAAATGTTAAAGATTAAAGTCCATAACTGCTAGCATTGTCAGCCTTTAAGCAGGTGAAGTTGAGCAACAGGATTTTGGTCATTCTTTTATAATACTGTAATGATATAACTTGATTTTACCTAATTATTTAAAAAAGGAATTTATTGTAGCACACTTACTTTCTAGCTGGTTTTATTTTGGCTTCATATGCTTTAGTGCTTTTATTCTCTACTGTTGTATTTATCTTTGTTATACTGTATACTAACTTAGGTTTCTTATTTGGATTTTCTGTTTTTAATGCATTTACTGCTCAGAGAATCTCAATGCAAAACAGCAAATAAAGAAGCAAAACCCAACCATTGTCCACAACTGAAATGGCTGTTTCCCCCATTCATTTTGACTGTGCTTTGACTGTGTGCCTCATATACTTGAGGGACTGGATTAAACTCTGTGTAAATCAGAATGAAAAGGCAGTCATGTCTTCAGGAAAAATCCAGTATAACTAAGCCTGGCTCCAACTCCCTGTGTGGTTTTATATTGTCCCCAATCCTCTAATATTGCGGAAGGTTAAAATCAGAAGGAAAAAAAACACACATTATGAATTAATGTCACTTTTCCCCTGTGGCCATTTATTTAAAAGTCACTGGCAAAAATGGCCTAGGCAAACAACTGTTTGCTTTGGGAAAGACCCTCTTACCTATTGTGGAGTGAGATGAGTAACACACAGTTGCTAGACAGGTAAGACAAGAAAAGCAGTTCTGGCAAGCCAAAGAGGAGATTCCAGCCCTTCTGCTAATGATCTCATCCCCAGGTTTTTAGAAGTAGAACAGAGGCAAGGAAGAGGGTGGGGAGAAGGCCAGGACTGGGGAAACTTAGGTCCTCCAGATCTTCTACAAACGCCACTTCATGAGCTACCAAATTATCTGAAGAGTGTCCCAAACCTGGACTACACTCCACCAGGAAATGAAATATATATGGATCTCCATCCATACCTGACAAAGCAAAATGTAAAACATTAGCTTTCCATTGAGATAATTTTTTCCAAAGGTGTTACCAAACAGCAAGTTTTTATAGCATCTCTGGTTCATTTCTCAGAGAGAAGGATGTGTGAACCTTTGTTTTTCCACACATAGCGTGGTATTGGACAAGAACTCAGCTGTCTGAGAATTTCGGCTATCATTTAAAACAGGCACATTCTCTCCCTTGTCATTGAAAAAAAAGGGCTCGAAAAGGAGTAGATCAGCTCATGACCATTATTATATGCCTTCCTACTCATACCCACCCGCCTCCGTGGGTGGCAGGCAAAGTTGTGGATTAGTTCACCTTGTTGTCACAACATTTCTGAGACAGGTTCGGCTGAGTAGGTGTGGCTGGCTCAAGGACACCCAACACACTGAACTAAATTTCCCCAGCTGAAAATCCAGCACTCAGAATGCTATATCATGCCAATTAAAGGTGTTAGTACCCTGCTGCATAGCTTCCTTGTATCCATGCCTTATCAAAGCAGAATAAAGTTATATCATAGGAAAACTGAAGAATGGCGATTTCTTTCTTTTAAATAGCAGAATTCTGATTATGAGGCACAGTGCTTCCACCAGGAGCCAAGAAGTATAAGGATACTGAGGCTCAGTGGCCCACCTCAGAAACTGAGAACATATGGCCCTCCGGAGGCTGTATGGGCGAGGTAAATGCCAGCTGGCTATGCTGGCTGAGGTTCCTTGGTTTACCCAAGCTAACAGTTCAGGATCAGACTTTTCCTCCCTCCCTGCAGGTACGTTTCTCTCAGTTCCACCACCTCCACAGGTGCATTTTTGTGCATACACAGGACTTTGGAATTCCCTCCCACAAGAGGCCAGCTTGGCTTGCATCTTTCATGTCCTTCTATAAGCAAGCAAAGGCCTTTCTCTTCAGGCAAGCTTTCTCTCAATGACTGGCTTACCTGAGTGGGGTTTTTAAATGATTGTTGTGCTTTATGGCTTTGAATGTAGTCTTGGTATTGTTTTCGCTTACTGTTTCTTAGAGTGGTGGTTGTTTGATCCTTTTTTCATATTTGTATACAGTACTTCCTGTTTTAGCTTCAAATGTTGTACAGTATTATAACGATGTAAACTCCCTTGGGTCCTTTTAAAGGGGAAAAGGCTGGGTAAAGAAATACATAAAGAAAGACCTGCATCCTGATAGGTGGAGGTCAAGACTCCTTGGCAAAATGATGCAGGTGAGTGGCTCATCCAGTGGTTACAGGTATGGCTTGTAACAAGTGACCCCTTCCTACCTGGCTGTCTTTCCTCCCATAGGTGGCTCAGTGGGGGGTGGGGTGGGGAAAAACTATACCCACGTTTCAGAACTTTTTTTCCCCTCTGCATTACAATCCCTAGAATTCTGGCTGGGGGATTCTGGGAGTTGTCATAAAAGAAAGCGTTCCCAAGCTCTGATGGCCCCAAACGATTGCTTAAGTGGCTGTTTCAGAGCTGACTCTGGCGCGGGTTCTGGGAGTCTGGGGGGCGGGCGGTGGTCGGGGCCAAGGGGAGGCCGAGGGGAGGGCTGAGGCTTCCCTGGCCCTCCGTATAGGCTGGAGGCCAGGGAAGAGCGAGGGGAGCACCGCTTCTTCGTCCCACGACCGGAGCGGTTTCTTCCACGCAGCTCCTACCCGCCGAGACCTCCGGGACATCCAGAGGTGCGCGCGAAGTTCTGAGCAGGAGAGCTTTTCTACCCGTTACCCTCTGGGGGGGGGGGAGGAAAGAGGAGCCGGGAGGCTTTCCCCGGTGAGGGCAGGGATCGAGTCCTTACCGTCCACTGATGCTGGGGTGACCGAGCTGTTGCCGCATCCGGTTGAACTGTCTCTTCATCATCTTGACGGAAAGGGGAAATAGTCCGCACACGCACACACCCCCCAAACGGGCAAGCCAGCGGGTCCCGTCCCGTCCCCCTTCCCCCCCGCGCTCCTCCTTCAGCGCCAGGCAGGGGCACTTGTTGCCATAGTTTGCTCCTTCGCCTCCTCCTCCTCCTCCTCCTCAGCAGCCTCGCTCCTCTCACTTCCTCGTCGTCCTCCAGAGCCTGCCCTTGGCGCTACCTGGCCTCTATCCCGCCCTTTCTTTGCTGGGGCTGCTTCACACCTCTCCTCCCGCCGCGGCTTCCTCCTCTTTGCTTCTCGCCGATTGCCTCTCCTTCGTCGCTTCGCGCCAAGCTTCTCGGCGCCCGCTTCGCCCGCCTGCTCTCCACTCTCTCTCTCTCTCTCTCTCCGCCCGCCCGCTCGCCCTTTCTGCTCTCAAGTTTCCAGGCTCCCACCCCTGCCTGCCTGCGCGCTCTCGCTCGCCGCCCCCCCCCACCGCTCGGATGCGGATCAGGTAAGATCTGCCGCTGCTTCTTCTCGGTTCCTGTCACCACCCCATCAGATGAGAAAGAGAGAGAAAAAGTATAAATAACTTCGGCCAAACCTTAAAGGGGAAATAGGATGACAGCAAATATGCAACAAGGCACAGCAAGCTCATGCTGCAAAGGAGCACTTCCTACTTCTGTTTTCTCTCTCAGCTAACAGGCTGAGAGCGTGGGGACGGTTAAGGTTGTGGCCCTTAAATGCAACTTGAGGTTTTGCCTGAGGAACAGTGTTGGTTGACAAGGAGCACTGTCCAGGGACCAGGAGGGGAGCGCAGGCATGGGGACACGCTGGCTCTCAAGACCAGAGGTATTTTTGCTCGCCATTCCCATCCACCCCATCCAATACATACAGCAACGAGAAAAAGACCATGGGAGTTCTTGTCAGACGTTTTCTACCTGGCGCAGAGAAGAGCATAACTGTTCTCTCTACGGTACTAGACCTCCCAGAGTTACAGCCAGCATTGCCACATACACACAGAGAGAAGTAACTTTAGCAACTTCTGGCATAGAGTTCATTCAGCGCTCACGAAACAGGGATCTCCAGTTGGACCAACCAACATTGCTTGCAGTGGGAGGTTCAGCGGGCTTTCAGATTCTTGTCAGGACTTCTGGTGGCATGTGACACAACTTGTCCCAGGTCAATTCTAGATACCACACTAACCAATGTCCAATTATGAAGATTTAATGTCCTGTCTCATCCTGAGATCTCTCACTGCATTCAGCCCACACAATCTCTAAGCTGTCTATCCTCTGCTTTAAGAAACCCCACATCAAAATTCCACACCAAGGAAATGTGTTGTATAATAATGTACTCTGAAACCCACCTCATTACCCTAGTGGTTTATCCAGCTCAGCCTCCTCTATGGGTTTGAGAGTCTACTGCACACTGTTTGTATGTTTTCAGTCCTAGCCTCTGAATGAAGATGGCCAGAAACCCTTTTTTAAAAAATAAAACAACTTTGTCACATAAAACATTGAATATCAAGTGTTAATTACCAGAGTACCAAATAAGCCATGCATTATTTTGAACAGTATGTGCAGAATTTGGTTAAAAATCCACCCACTACACTATATTTTAACCTTCCATGTTATACATCAAGATTATCTTTATTCCTGTCCTGAGAATACTGCATTGGATGGACCAATATTTTGACTCTTCTCAAGGAAACTTTCTACATTCCTAATAATCTGATTTCTCCAAAGTACTTTGGTAGGGACTGTTCATCAAAACTGCATGCAGCAGCTCTCCTTTCCCTCACTCAAATGTTCTCTTCAACATCTTATAAAGATGTGTTGAAAAATTCTCCTTCAAATCTGCCAGAATTCAGGGTCATCTAATAACCAATTTGATTAGCATTAGATTCATAACAGATAAAAGAAGCAAACTTAATTACACAAGGTATAATTAACTTCTGAAATTCACTGGTACATATAACAGTGTATGCTTTATACTCATGTCAAGAATGCTACAGTTTAGGCCCTCAGATTATGAGGTACTTTTAAATACCCTCCCCTCCCAAAATGTAGAACAATCATTTGGTTGATAATGCTGTTGCCATATAAATTTTATATAGCTTAGGCCCTTAGCCATGGCTTATGCTGTTCCATTACAGCTGACACCTAGGCAGCTTTTTAACATAATTCACAAAATTTACGTAAGATCAGTATACTGACAGGCTAGTCATGGCAGCTAAACAGAAGTTCAAGCAGAGAGGCTGTGAAGTATGTTTGTGAGTGCTCATCTTCTTCATGCCCTCGCTTGGTGATGTTTCTGAGGCACCTGGCAGTGTTATTAGGAGGAAGAAAACAGGACTAGGAGACCCTTATCTGACCCCCACCAATTCGTTCTTATCTTTGGGCCAGCCATACTATCAGACAGCATGAGGTGGGGGATTTGGTTGATAACAAGACAAATAATTATTTGGTTTGTTGTTATATTTTTGCTGCCTCTGGGCCAAAAATAACCTTGTTGGCCTTGGATATAGTAGAGTTCCTTCTCTGTCCTTAGCTGATAAAATATCTTGGGTCAGGACTAGATAATCACTCCTGTTTAATCTTATTGCCCTTAGAGCCAAAGCACTATGAGTACAAACTTGATTCCAGCACCATAATCCATCATCCTGTACACATCGTCAGACAATTTATTCAAGGTCTCCCCACCAACCACTGGTAATGGGGATTGTTTCCTACACTAGGGCCCTTTGGATCTCAGTAAAGTGTACCTCCTCCACCCCCACTGAAGGCTCTGATAGTTTTTTTAAAAGCACCTTAGGTCATCTATTTCAAATTCTCTGTGATATGAGAAGTCTAGTGGTCAGTGCTGGAGTGAGACTTGAAAGAGCTAGGTTGAAGTCTCTGTTAGTCACAACACTCACCGGGCAGCCTTAAGCAGCCAGTCTTTCTCTGAACTTCAGTGTCATTTCAAGGATGAAGTAAAAAAGAGGCAAGCCATGTACACAATTTTGATCTCACTGGTGGGATGTAAAAGTAACTTCTGAGGTCGGATGCCATCATGACTATTATGACTTTGGATGCAGCAGCTCTTATGCTGCATTTGAACCAGCCTCTAAAAGCATCCAACCAAGTTCTTCCAGCAGTTTTTTTAAAAATTTGCCTTGAATTATCAGCTGTAACAATCTGTACTTTTCATTACTTATTAAACTGTAACTCCAAAATATTCTAGCTGTCTACATTGTATGATTAATTGCTCTTTATTCACTCACTTTAATTCTTCATGAGTTACTCTGTTGATCTAAGATGTGTAAGATTTTAAACATATCAAAGTATGTGCAAAATATGTTTCTTCCTTGAAGCAGTTTACATGTTCCATTGGAAATCAAACACTATCTTCATTGAGTAGTAAGATGTGGGTTACAGAGCAAATGTGCAAGAAATGAACTGACAGTTTTAATTCTTCTGAAATGTGCCATTACTCTCTCAAACCAACTTCTGTATTTCCCCCCTCATCTCTTCAGTCAATTGTAGGCAATCTCCCAATTAGCAGCCATTTGCAGTGTTCTTCCTGCCCTGAAAGAAACTGCACAGGCAGAAGAATGATAAGAGACCAATGGTAGAGCAACACTGAAAAATAGGAGAATTAAAGCAAAACCAAGGCAAGGAAGTGGTCAGAGGAAACACACAGAAAGATACTTTCTATAATTGCAAATGAAAAAGACAGGAAAGGGAGACCTGCTTCAGGCAATCTACATTTACAACATAGATCAGGCTACCACATGCCTCGTAAATTTACCCAGTATAGGTTAAGGTGCAGCTGTTAAATCTATTAGAAGCTAAGTTACAACTACAGCTTCCCTTTGGTTTGTATAGAGAGCTTCTGTTTGAGGGCTGACATCAGAAAATAAGATCTATTAAAGAGATACCTCCTGTTGTAGGCATGAGCAGAAGACTGGTTCAAGACATTTGGGGTCTTAAAGCAAATCAAAAAATGGCACTTTTCCAGGCACCTTGGTAGTATAAACCAGAAACAATAAACTGAACAATAATTTGTTATCCTTTCATGACACCCAAAATCTGATGTTGTGGCTTTATGTTAACATTCTGAGCTAAATGGAGGGTGGGGAACCTTTGGCCCTCTCGGTAGCCAGATCTATTTACGTGAATAGATAGAACTCACACCTAATTAAATGGGTGTTAGTGCCATTTCAGAGTGTTTCAGATTTCACTGTGACTGCAATGAATGGGCGGGCTACTGGTTATCTCAGCAAGTGGCTATTTTGGAATTCCACATCCCAAACTGTCAAACTAGATTGGTTTATACATATTAATACAATGTTAAAAATGCATTAATGTGTAGAATTACCTTCTGTTCTGGGGCAATTTAAGTTTGGCAAGGCTTCTTGCTTTGGTGGATGCCTTAGTTTTAGGGGAACAATGAGTTGGATGCTGCAGGACACTGTATAAGAAAGAAATGGCAAGCACCTAGGCAGGTGGAGATAAAACAGCTCCTAGGCCTTAGGGAGCTCAAAGCAGGAACAGCCTTCCAGATATTCTGGGACTGCAATTTCCATCATCCCTCACCAGTTCTGCACTGGCTAGGACTGATGGGAGTTGGACTCACAACATCTGGAAGGCAATGCTACTTTACAGCTACTCTGCCTTCATAATTATAATCAGCACATTACACGAGGAGTGTGCAGAAAGTTTTGGCCCCAACCAGCTTCTAGGATACATTTCAAACATTCAGAATTTTGCCTTTACCTACGTCTGTATGATACAGATCTGAGCTTCTAGGATACATTTCAAACATTCAGAGTTTTGCCTTTACCTACCTCTGTATGATACAGATCTACCAGTTGAGATTGCTGACTCTTAAAAGGGTGTGTAAATTGGTATAATAATCTGTTGTAGCAAAAAAGGGCCTTATGACACCTTAATAATGAATTGATTTTATTTGACCTAAGCTTTCATGATGTTGTTGAAGTGGGCTACGCTCTATGACAGCTTATGCCAAACAAATCTTGCTTGTGACACAAGACTGCAGATTTGAAAGCTTACAAAGTATCTTCTGGCACATTAAAAAATGAAAATCAACAACCTGGGGGAGTGATACAGTATTTATTTCCCTCTAGATGTTGTTGGACTGAAACTCCCATCAGCCCTACCAAGGCTATCCTCTCGTGAGGAATGATGGGAGTTTTAGCCCCATAGCATTTGGAGAGCCACCTACCACCACGTAAGATATTGGGGGGGGGGGATTTATCTTATGGCAGAGGATCCCATATTCCAATTCTTATACCACATGGCCACAGTGAAGATTGCTAAACAAAACAAAACAAAACAAAAAACCAGAGGTCTGTTACAAAGGAGGAAAGCTGCAAAACAGCCTTCACCTTTAAAACAGCAGCTAATTATTTTTCTCTAGCCACAATTGGAATCCAACTGTACACTTATACGTATAGCAAAAATGACTGCTGCAGAGGCCCTTGCAAAAAAGGAGTGGGAAGTGGGGAGAAGAGGAAGTGCGAGTTATTAACAGGCACACAGCAGGCCTAGCCACAAACTGCAAGCCCATGGTCTAAGCTCAGATGGAGCTTGCCTGTAACAGGAGGAGGTGATATTTTCCAAGGTTAATATTTTGGTTAGTATTTGCAGAAACCTCAAGCTTCTACCTCTTTAAAAATAATTTGTATTTGCTCTTGCAGAGATCAACATACCTTCACTATCTAAGTCCAAATAATGGGGCTTTTTGTGCTTAGGTAAAATCTCACTGTAATGTCTCATTGGTAGTTTCTGCACTGAAATAGGAATTGAAAGGAGTAGAAACAGAGGATGCTTGGAAATTGTGGTTGTTGTTCTTATTCCTCCACCAAGCTGAAAGGTGGCCTGTACACAGAAAATGGCTCAATTTCTGAGACAATCGGGGAAAGTTCAGTCACAGTTGGATATAACCAGTTACATTTGAGCAGTAAGTAATCCAACTAGAGTTATGAAGATACTTGCAGTTGTAATAGGTAACAGACAATTCTTTTCAGGAACTGTTTTGAGTCATTTTGGCAGGAATTTTTTATATTTTATGCAATTCTTTCATGAATCCCAAGTGGCAAGAGACTTTTTTCTCCCTTTTATTTTTAAGGTAAAATATTAAAACTATCCACAAGAGGGAACCAGAAAGTATTTCCATCTAATTTTGCAACCTGTTTGTAAGAGAAACACAACAGGTTAACAAAACATAATGCAATATGTTACTACTTGGATGATCAGAACAAAACCTGGCTGCCAAAATGAGTAATGCATAGATCAATGTAAGATTCAGAGTTCTGAAATAGAGTCCATGTTCAGAGTTACCAAGTACCCCCCATTTTGTTATTTTAACAAAACTCCAGAATAGATTTTGAACCAAGACATGTGGGATGATGGCCAGAGCTATGAATATTTCACTGTCCAAACTAATGGGTTAAGATTTTAGCTTCTTAAGCATGTCAGGTTTTTTTTTAAACAGCTCTAAATTTTTTAGAAGGAGTGGAGAACATTTGGCCCTGTGTGGAGTTTCTATCAGGCCCACACGGCACACTAAATTGAAAGGGACTATTGTAAAGCCCAAATCATTTAGGAGGTCAAAGCTTTCCGACCCAGGGTCTTAAATCTGTAGACAGAGCTGCTGAAGCAGGGGCAACGTTTTACTCTTCCTAACATAATTAGAACAAACTATTCCAAAAATGATTATATTTGTATAATTTCTATAGACCCCCAAATCCAGCAACTCAGTATAGGAGTTTGGTGAGGGTTTTTTGTTTCTTTGTTAGTTTAAATACAGAATATTCACAGCATTGTGTTCAAAACAGTGTGGATCAAGACAAACTATTGACCCCGGAATGCTTGTTATCTAACCACTACTCTTCTTGAATCCCACAATCACTGAATCATCCAAGTTACAAAAAACAAAACAAAACAAAAAACCCACAACACCCCCCCCCCAATAACTAATAAGTAATCAGAAGAGAAAAGTCACAGAGATCCTGGGGTGGGGTGGGACAGAGGACAATTCAGCATTTGATCTGTATGTTGCTTCAAATGCTCCTGAGTCTTAAGACGCACTTTAGGGAAGAAATATTTTTATTTCCCATTAATACAGCAGATTTCACACAGTCTGTTTTAAACTTGTTTTCTATGTGAAGAATTTGCGCACACATGTATACAGTATATGTGCAAAAGTCTGTTTCAAGAACCAAAATGAAACAATTCTAGAAAGGGGGGGGCAAAGATAACCTTGAAAGAGAGACCAAAAAAATAAAAATATCCAGTTCTAACAGATGTTCACTTCAGAAAGACCTGGGTTTCAAAACAGCCGGTCACTGCCTGAAGCCAAAAGCATGAGCCACTTGAGTAAAACAGTATTTCTCAGCACAATCCCACCCACTTCTTGTCTGGAAAGCTTAATTCTGCCTCCCAAGGAGCAACTGATCCCAGCCAACAGTCACTAGTTGAGGCCTCACTCCCGGGCATAATTTAGCTCATGAAGCCATGCCTTGAAGCCCACCAATCAGTGGGAAGGACAAGAGGGGCAGCTACAGGTGGGAATGATCTACAGAGAAATGAACATTGTTATGGCAACCCTTTTCTCTCCTGACTTCCTCTTTTTCAGTGCTGCTTCCTGGTGGGCCAGAGACACTGAATCCACAGTCCAGAGCAGTAGAAGGACTCTGTGCACAGTGTAGTCAGTAGAGTTCAGGAAGTGGGTCTTTCATTATCCTGCATCTTTGCACTATCAGTTTCTGTCTCCAGAAAGAGGAAATACGGGATGGAACAGCATCCACACATTCAGTGCAACCCTTTCACAACTGTACAATAAGGCTGAAACACAAATCCTTCTCATGTTAAGGCATTTTAGACTAGGCACTCTACCCTCTTCCCTTCTTGGCCCACCCCTTTAATTCAGTCAGATTCTACTTGTTGTAGCTCTAAAGATATGACAAAGAGCAGCCCATGCTAAGTACCCCATTTTAGGGGAACAGAGACCTCCTAAATATAACAGCCAAACTACCCATGTAGTCTTAAAGCTGCTTTTGCACACAGGTTCATGAATGGGCCAAGTAGCCCTCTTGAGACAAAAATCTATTTTTTCCGCACCTGAAACAGCAATCAAGCCTTGTTTTGTAGCAAACAGGATCTTAACAAGAGGCATTATCCCAAGTATCAACCCAGTGTCCTGAACACTTGAGGTTTGCTTGCGAAGAGTGGAGTGTAGAAGAGCTGGATGGTGGGGAGATGTAAGGCAGGAGAGGAGGGGGCAGAGTGCCGTGGTTGGGTTTCTTAGAACCAATGTCAGCTGATCATGACCACCATTCTATGGAAGAGAAAGCAGAGCTGGAAGAGCAAGTTGAGAGCAGGGGGCTCCAAAACCAAGTCTGAAGAACAGAGAACAACTCACTCCACCATTCCTGCCCCACCAACCGCAGGAGAGGCATTCCCTCTCTGTACTCCGCCTACCCATCCTCCACCCACAGCATCCAGATGACTGCCAGCATTCCTGTCTGAGAGCAGAGTCCATGAGCTTGACAGCTGTGGGAAGGCTCTGGTCCTGGGAAAGGCAGACTCCTTTCAAATCTGACACAGCACACGAGTTGAAGCACTAGAGGTTTCCCCATGACTCTGGAGGGGGGAACTGGTCCACATCGCCCATCTCATTGTACGTTTGGTCTCCCATGGTGAAGGTCAGTTTGTATCGCAGTCTCACTTTCTCCTGGTCAGAAGAAAGATGCACAACTGTTAAAGAAGGAGTGGGAGGAGTCCGGAGTGGCAGTGGAATTTTCTTTATTACACAGAAGAATTATGACTGTGGCTGGCTGGATAGTTCAGTGGTTTAAATATTCAGTTGCACAGCCAGAGATTGGGAGTTTAATTCCACACTACATCTCCTGCAAGTAAAGCCAGCCTGTGTGGACCTGGGAAAGCGGCACAGTCCCAGGGCACCCCCAGAAAGGGAATGGGAAACCACTTCTGAGTACTATCTGGAAAATCCAGAAGAGTTTTCATAAGTCAGAACTGACTTGACGGAATGTTATTTTTATTAATAAGATATTGCAGATGTTTTGAATTTCAACTACATTGCAGATGTTATAGATTTCAACTTCTTGGAGCCCTAGTTAAGACAGCAAATGGCAAGGGATTGTGGGAGATGTAATTAAAAACATCTGGAGGGTCAAATGTTCCTCCAACCTTGTTTTAAGGTATGATTTGGTAGGGCAGAGAAAGAGATGCAAAGGGAAGACATAAGCCCCTCTCTATGGACGTAACGTTACCTTCTGCGGGTTGGCAAGGAGGAGGACCTGGGTGATTGCTGTGGGGGGAACAACTGGGTTGAATGCTGGAAGTTCTGTCCCGGAGGGTGGCTGCAGCTTCACCTTCATCACCTGAAGAAATGAAATAGGATTCCATGAAAAACTACCATGGGCATAGGCTGGAAGATCTCATGAACCTGCCTCTAAGCTTCAGGATAGTGAAATCACCTAGTGAGAGAATCTTCTAGGCCAGTGGTTCTTAACCTTGGGTAATCCAGGTGTTCTTGGACTGCAATTCCCAGAAGCCTTCGCCACCAGCTATGCTGGTTGGGGCTTCTGGGACTTGCAGTCCAAGAACACCTGGGTTACCCAAGGTTAAGAACCACTGTTCTAGGCTGTGTTGTTTCTCTGGAAGAAGATGACTGACATATTAACCGAGCCAACAACACAGAACTGTTGATGTGCAGAGACCAGTTTTATCAATGCTAGAGCGATGCCTGCACACCTATCAATAACTCATCAAGTCTGCATTCTCCTCCTTTTTTTAACTGCAGACCTCATGGCAACATCTAGCCAAACATTTGTACTTCCAAGGCTTCTTGCCCTTGCTTTAAAAAAAAAAAATCTACATTATCTGATGGTTTCTGAACAAAAATGCCTAGCACGCTACTATAGTCTCACACTTACTCAGAGATGGAGGAAGTTACTCTTTTGGTCTGAAGCTCCCAATGACCCGGCTTGGGGGCATATTAGGCACTGTTGTTACCCAAAAATCTGTTTGTATCCCTGTGGGTCCTAATAAAGGTATTGCATATCTGTGGATTTTGCTTTGTTCTAAAACAGCTCTTGTTAGAGTCAGAACTTTGATTAGTATAATAAATTACCATTGTAAATGCACTGGTTCATAATTTTAAGGACTCTCGCTCTTCTCACACCTCAGTGGGCATTTCCATTCCTCATTTTCAAAAGAAATGTGAACCAGCCAACACTTTTCATAATGAATTAGTCAAAAGTACTTCAGAGGATAGCATGCCATGCATAGGCTTGGTTTTTATAGCACAGCGGCTGATACAGGAAGGAATATGTCTACTTCTTTAAGAATAACATACCAAATCATACTACCAGCTTACGTAGTGCAGTGCCATCTCCTCCAACTGCCATGGTTGTCCAAGGACTTTGGCTAGTTTTGCTGTCCAAGGCCCTTTTAACTGGGACATACTCAGACCATGAGAGGCTTTCCAGGATCTCAGCCAGTGGTCCTTCCATCACCTCTTACCTGAATCTTTTTGCTCAAGATCGCAAAGACTGACCCTATGACCTTATGTATGCACTGTCTCCCCCTAAGCTATGGCCTCTTTTCATCCCAAATTGTCCAACTGGAGGCAATTAGAACAAACAGAAGCGGTAGCCAAGGGACAATTGCATACCTCTTCTTTCTTCTTCTCAAAGCAACTGAAGTGGTTGATCAAGAAACAGTTTTGTCAAAAAATGTTTTGTCTGAGTATGAACTATTAAGAACCACTAGAATTTGGGAGATCGGGGAGAGACTACCTTGGGAACAGCAGATTGAAAGATGATGTTCTTGATGGGCAAGGGGGCTGTGCTGAGCATGGAGATGACCACAACCAGAACATCAGGCCGGTCAGGCAAAGAGTCCTTGGCAAAATGGAAGAGAACACGGAAGCCATGTTGGTCATACACAGTCACTGGGAGGATGTTGCCTGGAATGGAGTGATACCAAGAAAAGTGCAAAGAGAGAGGACTGAGTCTTTCTACAGAGGCAATTAATCTGCCACTGTTTACTGTAATCAAGCTATCTACACTGTCTATTAGAAGCATAACTGATGTTCTACCCCACTGCCCTCCAGAGTGGAAGTAAGTTCAAGAATTTATAATTTCACATATAATGCCGCTTAGAATGAATAAGCTGCCTCATCTTGGGTGATTAAGGATGGCTATTTTTTTAAAAAAAATATAAACAATAGCATCCACTATTCAAATTGGGGAAAGCAACAATTCTTCCTTGCTTAACCATAACCTGCAAAAGCAAGCTCAAGTTAAAACTGCCTTATAAGCTATGAAGATGTCAAGCTTGCATCTAGGCCATTTTCCAAGCAAAAAGGATGCAAGACTAGAGAGAGGAGAGACACCAAGATTGTTTCTCTTCTCTAGCTAGTTTTGCTAGCTGAAGTTAGTATACAGGTAGTACTAAAAGTGGCCTTTCTCACCCTTAACTCTGCTTCTGACAAGTCTCTTTAATGATGCACACCAGGCTGCGGATCCACCACAAAGATAAGGAATACTGGAAGACAACACTCAAACACACACACACCCAGAGGTCTAGTTGCCAGGTGAGATTATTAACTAGGCATGGGATTTTCAGATATTTTTCACTATAGCTACCATGATTCACCAGGAATTCTGGCACCTTTAGCCAAAATCTAAGTTCTCTGAGGGGTTTCAGTACATACATCTGAAACCCAGCATTTTCTTCTCCCAGCACAGCAAGGGGAGAGGAACTTGTTAAACTTCATGGGAAATACAAGGGATTGTGGGACTGATGGTTTCTCTGCTCATTAGGCTCTGTACATGGTGGCTCTCAAAAACAAAACCCCACTAGGAATACTATAACAAATTGTAATTCCCATCGGAGCTTGGCAAGTCCTATCCACTCTTTATTTATTTTTACTATTTATTTGATTTATACCCCACCTATCTGGACTATTAGCCCACTCTAGGCGGCTTCCAATACAAAAGACAATAAAACACTAGGATGCACAATAAAAATTTCAATAAAAGAAAAAAGAAAAGCTGCAGAGAACATCCTGGGCCTCAGTCAAGTGTTGCGAAACACCTCTGAAGATCTGGATTTTTTGGATACAGGTGCCAGAATTATGGCTTTGGACATTCCTGGTAAATTGTGGTAGCTGTAGTGAAAAAATCTGAAAATCCCATGCCTACTATCAACTGACTAACGCTTCTTCCATCCCTCTAATATTTCCATGATCTCCAGCAGAACTACTGTTTGGAAAAGCTCCAGACATCATCTCACTGAGCTAAATGGTGGTATCAATGGTCTGGCCATATGTGCTGATGTTGTCCAGTGCAGAGGAGGCTGGTGATGTTAGTAGATATCTGGCCTGCTGTGCTAATGTGGATCCCCATCTCTGCTTCAGAACAGTTCCAAAATGACTGACAGCTGAACTAAGCCATATATTGTGCTAGCATTTGGACCTAGTTCTAGTCCCCTCTTATAAGTGAAGCTCACTGCTTAACCTTCAGCCAGTCACAGTTTTTCAGCCTGATCTACTTCTCATGGATGTTCTACGGATGACTATGACACCACACGTGACCTCACTGGAGAAAAGCTATAGATGTAACAAATGCAATGAATAAATAAACGACCCCTGCCCAAACTCACTTGGTTTGATAGATTCTAGAGGCACAGTGACATTTGTCAAAGAGATTTCCAAAGGAGGTGTGGAAGCAGGGAGACCTGCTGGAGGAGCCATGGCTCCGGAAGGTGTTGGTGATCCTCGAGGGACCCCAGCAGATGCTGGCTGTTCCGAAGTCAAGGGCAGGGTGCTAGGAGGGTTTGGAGAGAGGCTTGGGAAGAGAGGCAGAGTGCTGTTGGTGCTCATAGCTGGACTGGAAGTGCTCTTGTTCTGGAGGTCACGCAGTGTTAACCGAGGTGGAGGTTGCTTCTCCCTTCAAGATGACAAAAGAGATGGGTCGTCAATAGAAGAAGCAGGAGAACATTTCCCAACCCAGCCCTACCCAAAAGATGTTTCCTTCATGGAATTACTCCCTGACCTCCCCCACCTTGCTCCCTACCATCTGACTTGAAGAGATTCTGGGGGAAGAGATTGTTGCAATAAAGTCTTGCCCAGCAGGTCCAGGTCATCCATACCACTGGTGGCCGTAGGAGGTGCTGGTGGAGGAGGTCCACCATCTGTCTTCCCCACCGAGGCAGGTGGCGCTGAAGGGACGCTGAACTCAGGGCTGTCTGATGACTTCAAGAAGCAGGCAAGGGGGGAGGGAGAATAATGCAAAGAAGAGCGATCAAACCAACCAGCCAACTAAACCCCTTGGCAAGGAGATACTACCACCCCATACAAAGGGCAAAAACCTTTCTCAAGTTCACATATGTTAATGGCATGTGCAAACCACTAGGATCCTTTCACATACAATCTGATGAGAGTCCATACATTTCTACAGTGCAAAACAGTCCTGCATAGGATTGACATTTTCTGTACAAGTTGTAGATTTTATGATATAGATTTTGCTGCCCTAAACTACACGGATTGGCTACAGAAGCACAGACCTAAAGATAATCCCATACAGGTATTATTCCAATTTCACAGGAGAGATCTATGTTCACTCCAGGACAATGGGGGATCTGCACTTTTTCTCCATGGCACAAGATCTCCATTTACACTGCCATCTGGAAAATACTTAATTTTCCCACACTGATGTTTCTAGTTGTTTGGATTTCCATGTAACGAAAGCATGTAACAGAAAGCAGTGGAGATTTTTAATAATCTTGTTTTACCCGCAATGAAACTTCACACTAGCACAGAAGTAGGGAACCCATGGAGGGGCTTTTAAATCCATGCTACCAGCTTCAAAAGCAAATCCACTGAACAAAGTGAGCTGCACCTATAATAATCCACATGATGAACAAAGCACAGGGAACAAATGATTGTCCAGATGTTGTTTGACTACACATCCATTAGTTGTGGTTAGCATAGTTAAGATGAAGGATGATGCCGCCCAACAAGATCTGAGTGCCACCATTGATTATTCCTGATCTACAGAAAGTTTCAATAAAGAGTTTAGCTTTCAAGGAATGTAGCTTGGCTGAGGCCTTACATGCAGATGCTAAGCATATCTACCACTGTTGGATACTTATCATTACATCAGACAAGCCTTAAGAGTGTGAAGCTCCAACTTCAGCTCTTCCCTTGCCTCTAGCTCAAGAGGTTACAGAGTCTCTTAACTAATTTCCTGACAGCTTCCTCAGGACCAAGCTCTTACCTGAAAACTGTTCCAACCACTGCTATCTGTACCCTGGGCGGAAGATGTTGCTGGGTCATTAAGCCCTAACAGAGGAAAGAGATTCCATTATTCTCAACATGGAGAACCAAGATCCAGGCGGAGATAAATAGGAAACTGAAGCTTGCAAATATGCTACTAAGTAAAGAACACAGAAGTAGAGAAAGAGACAGGAAAGCTTCTCTCCAATCAAGGTTTAAAGTAGTTGGCATTAAGATCCAGTTCTCCATCTGGCTGCTGTGCTACTGGGAAAGCAGTACACTCCAGCAGAACATTTCTGAAAAAAGAGTCTTTTCCTCAAGCAAAGCAGGAAACTGAGAAACTAACAAGCATTTCTTTATTTTTTAATTAGAACCTGCATCCTTCCACATGATCCATCCCTTTCCACACCTCACTTTGAAACTAAGTACTTTTCATCCTGCCTGAACCTCAAAGCAACCCTTGCACTTACCTAAAGACATGAGTTCATCATCCAGCAAGGACACAGAACTGCTTTGTTCGGGCACGGAACCTGCCGAGTCACCACCTGAGAAAGTTGGTATGGCTGGGTATGAAGGGCTTGTGGTTGGCATGTCCAGCCCTGATAGATCCAAAAGTGCTGATGTACTACCTATGAGAGGAAACACATTCCATTGCCAAGAGGAACTGAAGTTAAGAAATCCTACCAGATAGGAATCAGTAATGTCATCCACAATGCCATTTCCCTTATTAGTGCTCTGCTTATTCAACCCTAGCTCTTCTAGCTACAAAGTCAACCCAGACAACAAGCCAAGGTATGCCTTTGCTCGCTCTCTCCATAGGAAATGTTGTTGTCCAATCAACTGCCCCGTGGAAGCGTATCATCTTTTGATTTCTAGTCTGAAAAGGACAAAATAGTATCTGGCCCTCAAGTGAGCCCCATTCCCCAGTTTCCTTACCTCTCAGAGGACCGGCCAGTGCCTCCCCATTGATCTCTTCTCCTTTCACAACCTGTCTGTACAAGTTGATAACTTGTGTCAGGTTGTCATTGGCCTGCAAAATTTCCGCTGCAACAGGAGGACAAAGATGGTAAGGGTGAGGTTTCCTAGGGCACTCAACACTCAATGTCACGTATGATTAATACTAGTATTAATTATTTCAGCACATGAATAATCATACCACAAAGAAAAAAACTGAGTAAATTGCTGAGACAGTTGGATTACCTTGTTAAGTACCTTGTTAAGTAATTTGGAATAATTTGTTAAAAATGAGCCAATATGAAAAGTTCCAAAATTTAAGCAAGGAAGAAAACATTGCACAGAAAACCTGAGAGAAAATGGTGCGTCATCATCTTAGTAATGTGTTCTGAATCAACAGGCATGGATGCTCAACACAGGAACCATGATGCATCAAACCAAAGGATAGCACAGAATGAACACTTAAGTCCAACAGCACTTTCCACCTTGTGCTACCAGCAAGTGCTATTCAGAGGCGCACATGACTAGTTGCTATAGGTAGCCTTATTCTCCATCATGGGGCAGAGGCAGGAAAATGAAGAGAATCTTCTTGATGTGAAACCTAAGCACATACCTAGTATTTACTCAGACTCTTCATTAGAGGCACCCATAAAGAAAGACAATGGAGCCAGAATGCCCTCTAGATTGCCCCTGAAAGCTTTCTAAAATATGGGTGGCACATACCACTAGACAGGTGTCACAATCAAAAAGTGACTGGCTATGCATTTACCTAATGCCTCATCATTGTCCTCTGTGTCACTGGCAAGTCGGAAAAGCATGGGCCTCATGCGCTCACAGCGCTGGTACAGCTCCTGTAAGGGGAAGAGGCTAACATTCAGTACCATAGGATGTACTCCTGGGCATGCAAGTCTACCACATTATGCAACACGATCATTATATTAAATGTATGTTGTGAAGTTGGCATTTATGATAGAGATCACATTTCAGACTAGTAATCACATCTGACTTTGTTCCACCTCTACAAAAATTTATAGTCATATATAAACCTCTAGCCTAAACATCATATTCCAGGCATCCTCCATTTCTGAGGAAGTAGATTATAATCCATGAACGCTCACAGTGGAATAAATGTGTCAGTCTTAAGGACTGACAGAATACTTTTTCTTTTTACATGTATTAAAATGCTCCACCCAGACCTGCTGCCAGTAATACAAAATTGCCATAACTTGCACAGTCCCTTTCTCACTTTCATGAGGTCCTCATTGCTCTCCGTTGTCTCTCCCTTGCTATAGTTAGTCACCATCTCAGTCAGGAGCTTCACATTGTTGTTCACCTCCTCAATGGCATTCACCCTCTTGGAGATCTTTTCCATTCGCTTTTGGTCCTGGAAGAAGAAGAGGAAAGCAGTTCTTATCATTCCCCTTTATCCTCTGGAGACTGGGAGGGGCTGGAGTATTTAAATGAACTAACCCTTTCTTAAGAGGTACCTGTTGGACCCCCTCACTTTGAGAAGCCTGATCACCGTGTACTTTGAGTGTTAGCTACCACAATGAGAGCAACTCTGGAAATTAGAGCATGTTATTCAGCTGCACCACACAAAACTTTTACAGCTATTTTCATATGACTTCAACAGTAGGATTACTTTGGGATCTCAAAGATCCCTATTCCCAGCCATCAGAGGAAAGAACCCCTTTGGAATGTGTGGAAAACATAAAAACACAAGTTATTTTCTTCAGAAAAATGTACAATCTTCTCTTCAACCCCATGACACAGTCTGTATGAGTGCAGAGGCAAGGGTACAAAGTATGGATTAAGGACATTCACGTTCAAATTCCTGCTCTGTCCGGCAACCCCACTCCTTCAGCTGAAACCACTTCTGTAGTGAGGATAAAACTGTTCAGAGATAGCTGAGGGAAGATAACAATGGCTTAGAAAGAATGCAAAAAACAAACAAACCAAAAAACCCCCACAAAAAAAAACCCCTCAGCCAGAGCCCTAAAGACTTCTTACAAAGAAAAACTCACCTCCTGCACCATCTCTTTGATGAGCTTGTTGGCAGCTCGGAGATCTTCAGGGTGGGAACTTTTCAACAGGCGAGCCAGCATCTGCAAAGACACACTTTTCAGAGAAAAGCAGGCCTAAGAAAGGGCTAATTTGAGTGTTTTAGTTTACAGTGGAAGAGTATGTCTGAATGAAACAAATATGTGAACTGCAAAGGAAACAGCACCCCCTTCAAGGGAACTAGATGTTTACCACTGCTCTAGAAACTCTGGTCTTGTATATTTTGAGAAAGACCAAGAATAGCTTGGTAGCTAATATATTACTAGAGACAAGGTGGGAAAACATTTGGTGTAACCTACTTTCCCTCCAAGACAGACTGGTACAGTTTATGAGCCATTACACTCTGATATTAGAGCCTGGCATTCAAAGTCTCTATGTTTTGCAGTTCCAGTTCAGTAACAAAAAAGACAAAAAAGGTTTATCAAACTCCTGATGGAACCACCACACATGGCTAATGCTTAAATTTGACCTGGCAGCTTACTACTATACTGCCACAGTTTCTTAAGGTTGTGGAGACCTGACATGAAATTTCAAATGTACTGACAGAAACATAACTGGACTCTGCCGTTCCTGCAAGAACTTTGACTATTACCACAGGGGAATCAAGTTGGAGCAGATACGGAGTAAGTAAAGACACAAGTATCTGAGGATTGAAAGAGAGTGATATAAGCTCTTTGTAAGGTACTACCCAAGCTATAGTACTTAAACGTCTGCTGTCCAAACTACTATTCTTTTGAATTGTGTGAAAAAATTAAAATTCACACATGCCTTAAAATTTGTTCTCTTTTAACTGTCATGACATAATCTATACTCAAATTCAACACCACAAACCTGTTTTGCATTGCAGGATGAAGTTTGTGGCAGTTTCCATTACTAATATGATACGACACTGGATGGGCCATTGTTTAGCCATGTAAGACATTCATTTTTTTTAGTTCAGCTTTTCCCAACCTGATGCCCTTCCAATGGGTTGGACTACTGTTTCTATTATTCCACAGCCAGCAAAGCTGAGCCCCATCAGGAGCAACCTGAAAGCGATTAGTGCTCAATGACTTCAAGTGATACCAAAAGAATGATGTTTTCACACTTGAGGCAATCAATGAGCTGCCTTGAGAAAGGTTTGCATAGGTTAGGATGGCTTTTTTATTTCATCACCTGGCCCATTTGCCAAATGATAAATTGGCACTCACACTCAGCTCCTACCATAATAGACAAAAACAAACCCTCACTGCCAAAACAGAAACCCAATAGCATTGGGCTAAAAAGGAGATCAGAGGAGTGATCCCAGACTGTTAGGATGGCTGGGCTAGGAAAAACGTTTTGGCCACCTTGCCACACCCCTTACTTTGGACTTCTCTTCATCATCAAAGATGACATTCTTCGGTCTTGGGGGAGGCAATGGGAAGGGTGCATCGTCTGGCAACTTAGGGTCACATTTTACAATTCCTGGAAGGAAATAAAAGATTTAGGAAGTTCTTAACTCAGAGCTTAGACTTCACTGTCTTCATAACAGTTTTAAAGACTTTGTCTAAATGAACCTCCTGGAGTTTCTCAGCACTAGACCAGCTGTGGTGATGTTCATCCAAGGTCTAGAGAAGGGATGGGGAACGCTCTGAACCTGAAGATGTTGACAGATTACAATGTTCATTATTCTTCAATTGCTGACCATGCTGGCTAGTGCTGATGGGAGCTGTAGTCTAACAACTGGAGGACCAGTTACACAGCGGTCATCACTCCTGCATCAACTGCCTTCTCTTCAATCTAACAACTGCTGAGATACAGAGCAAATCCTCAACTCTGCCTCCACCATAGTCAGCTACTTTGAAATTGGGCTTGTATTTTGCAGACCATGACAGAATAGCCAATTTGGCAAGCTGTATTTTTCAGTACCAGCACATACAGGTGTATGTGGGAGGCGTTATTTTCTGAGCTAAGAAAGGATCTCTCACCTTGCTTTTTCAGCATTTGATAGGCTTCTGTAATCTTCACTTCATGGGGTAGTCCCAGTGTCCAACTATACATAAGCTCCAAGATCTTGGATTTCACTTTCTCTGGAGTCCTAGTTCCTAGGTACTAAAGGGGAGACAAAAACACATGCACATCAAACATGAAGGGGCAGGATAGTAAAAAAGAAAGATGGGATAGGTAGTGGATGAGTTCACATAGTGGGTTTTGTACCAACACAATGTAGAGCATTGTGTACTTGATAATGGGCAGGAAGAAGATGTTAGCAGGTACTTTTGGCAATAAGAAACAAAACCACATTCAGAACTTTTCTTCCCCAATGAACATCCTTTAATACCTGGTTGTTTCAAGTAGCAAAGGAGAAAACAGAGCTGACAGCTAGAAGATGGAAAGTCCATCACACAAAGAATGTTTCCTAAATTCATATTAGTGCTCCATTCTATATGAGGAAGAGTCACTTCTTATCTTCTTGTGACAGACTATGCCCTAGCACTTCCACATATGCATCTCTATTGTGTGCAAATAGCTTTGCAGAAGAATAAATGGGGAACTCTGGGCTTGGTATAGGCCTCATCCTAGACACAGAGCATCCAAGAAGCTTCAGTGTTCTTATTATGGAGTGGTACTGTTGTAAAGTCATTGCAATCTCCCAACTTTCTACTGCTTTTTAGCTCATGTTACTGAAGCCTAAACAGCACACAAATGCATCCTCTTTTGCCATTCCAACCCTTTTGCTTGATGCTTGATCCTGCCACAACAGCAACCAGACCCACCTTGGGGGACACCACCTTGATGAGCTCGTTAAGGAAGCGGAACTTGCCCACTTCATCGTGAAAGCGCTTGCCACAGTTTTTCATACAGGACTCCAATACCTGCACAAGAACAGAGCAAAGGTGGGAGTGGGTGAGCATCAAAGTGCCAGGGTCCCACATTATCCCATTTTCTGCTTCAGGGTGCAATATAAAGGGGGTGGGAGAGACACTACTTTGAAGAATACATGCACAGCATCCCGTGAAGTATACACAGACTACAACAGACATATTCCTTGGAAATAGAGAGAAACAATGTAAGGCTTGCTCCTCCACAGAGTACAAACAAGGATGGCAAAGAAGATAGTTTACTCCATTTTGACCTTCAAATGCCTAGAACAGGTAATCTTGATGTTCATCTTAACAACAGGCCATCTCTAATTCTGTTTGTAGGTGTATCAACACTGTGAGCAACTCACACAACAGCTATTAAAAGGGTCCCATGTACGCTTATTTTAGGCTTCTGTGACTTGTGTTGCTACCTATAGCCTTCCCCATCTCTCAAAGGCACTCCTATCTTAGCTCCAGGCAATATTTATAATGGTAAGATACACCTCTCCATCAGAGAAACATCTCCTTAAATTCATCTACAGTACAAGGAGAATGTAAGCAAGACAATGATGGTTGTATGTTTGCACTAACAAGTCACTCCACAAAGGCTCTATCAGATGTGGCACAAACTCTGAGATACCTTGAAATCAAAGTCTGCCACTCCCAGAGATCCTAAGATCCATCATACTTCCCTTGGGGCTTGCACAGGTGAGAGGAATTATTTAAAAACATTGAGTGCTGTGCGAGCATCCTTATTAGACACCTGCTCCAAACTCTTGAGTGTGAATAGTCAACAGTGAGATACAGAGTTCCCCTCTTTCACCAGGTAGTTATATATAGCCTACACTTACTTATTCTTGCTAGAATCAGAAAATGCACTTAAAATCAAGCCTGGCAAGAGTCTCTCAATCTGTGATACAAAAATCAATGCAATGAACTGGGGCGGGTAGTAGCGCCTTAGGTAGACAACATCTGTAAAGTATTCCATGCTTCTGTTTGGTAATCTAATTTAGGGCTGACATTTTAGCATATATTTTCCTTCAGTCACAGGCACTTCAAACTTATACATTTAAAAATCAATGTTTTATATCTTTGCATTCCCGTTGTCTTCTGCTTTGGTTGCTTTTTTTATTTGGTTGCTTTTCTTGATCTATCAATGTGTTCGTATTTATCTGTTTTATTTTTGTTGACTGCACAAAAAGTATAGCTATTGGAAAGCTATACATATCACTGTTGTTAACTTTCTGTAGGAAGTGAATATTTATTTGTTTACTCTCTTTTAATCTTTCCAACAGCTATATGTTTTGGGCAGCTAACCAGAATAAAAATATATAAAATATACGTTACTGTCAGCTTTCTGCCTAAAATTAAAAGGAACACAATGAAAACACCAAGCTAACCTTCTCGCAGAGGAAGTTCTATGACTAGGTTACTTAAAAAATGCTCTCCGCTCAAAGCCATGCCTATAATAACCAACTGTCAGAAGTGGTACATTTCTAGCTCTCAAGGCTATGAAAAATCCTTGTAAAACAATATAGCACTTACAAAAAAGTCCTCACAAATGTGAAAGCAACTGAGCAAGCCACTGTTTTATGAATATATCAGTTCAACTAGAAGTGCTCTACTAGAAAGGCCAAAACATTAAAATAAGGGTGTGAACACACTTTTCTATAAACGTGTTTTGGCTTCATGATCTTCATACATAACCAGCAAAGACACAGAAAGAAGGATAGGAAGTCTTCTCTTAACTATCAATCTTATATGACAACAAAGGAGGGGATAAGAAGAGGAGAAAAGATATGGCACAATATTGTGTAGCTCTTAATAGGTTTTGGGAGTCCCTTTTTATTAACTTCTTGTTCCTAACTCATTCAAGGAGGATTCTTTCTGAGCTAGGAGCACTTTTATTAACTTCTTGTTCCTAACTCATTCTTTCTGAGCTAGAAGCATTAACATTCAAATGACACTTCAAGCAACTTAGGATGAAATAAAGAACTTAAACAGTTATTCCCAAATGTGACACAATACCAGTGTGGCTGCATTTTTAAAAATGTCTGTACAAGTTGTAGTTGTAAAGAAGCTATATTCTCTACAAAAATGAACATGGTTCCCTCATATGATCCATGAATTATTTTCTTGGTCTTTCCTTGAAGATTATGTACATGAATAATATTTCACCTTTCATTAGGACAAGTTACATTTTATGGACACCAGGTCACTTTCAGTTCTACAATTCTTCATTAATAACACATCCAGAGTGAAACAATTATGTTTTCTTGGTGGTCAATGATTGGAACTTGTGTTCACCTTGCTCTGTGTGCATGGCCCCATGATCACCCCTGAAGTATTGCCACAGGAAAGTGTCAGATAACAATGAAACTGTTGTGAGACACTGAGCATGTCACAGAAAAGAAAGGTATCTGGAAAAGAGGGGAATCGTTGAACCTCCTGCATCCACTGCACTTAACTATAGAAGAGAATGCTGTCAATCTTATTTCAACAAATTCTAACCTACTCTGAGCTTGCAGCCACAGTGACAAGTGCAGATGTAGAAGTGCACTCTTACCTTTTTGTGCCCACCCCACCTAAAGCCATTAGGAAAATCAGTGGAAAGTGATTTATGAGTTCTTACCGTGAGAGCCTGAATGGCTTCCCATTCTTGTGGAGACTGAATCTTATGGGCTAGGAGTCGGGTGGCAAGTGGTGGGCTAAATGGTAAGATACAGGAATAGTTAGTGAAAGGCCCTTTCCTGTGATACAAACCTTGCCATGAACACATACTGTAGTTGCTGAACTTTTACTTCCTATGTGTGCTGCTAGTGGCAAACCCAGGCTGTCACTTTCCATTATTTTGTTCTTTGCTCATTTTCCACCCCAGTTCCTTTCCTTAGCTCACCACAACTTTGTTGTACTTTGGACAAAAGCTTTTTCAAACCAACCCCAGTTCCTTTCCTTAGCTCACCACAATTGTACTTTGGACAACAGCTTTTTCAACCCGTAGCAGAGGTGGACTAGCAGTCAAAAACAAAGCCCATCCCTGCATCCTCCTACCTTGCTAGAAATTCAATAGTAATGATTTGGTGTGAACAGATTCGGCACCAATGGTATCTGAAGTGCTCTATGTTTCTAGAATGGCTCAATTGCTAATAGACATCTGGTAGATTTAACATTATTTTGAAAATGTTTATGATATAAACTTTATCCAATTATTGACCAGGATCCACTCATTTATATTTATTCAGTTCACTGCTTCTGCTACTAGAATTAGGACTGGATTCCTTTGTTCCGAAGTGATGCTTAGTCTCAAGACCTTGTTCCAAAAGGCTGCAAAACCTTCTATAGCAGGCTTCATCACAGAGCCATACAGGGGAATAGAAGAAAATCCCAGAGAAGCAGTAAATCCAGTAGGATTATAGAGTCAGATCTTGGTCATGGTTTCCCAAAGCACAATTCAAAGACCTTAGCTCTGGACAATGTGTTCAGCAGCAGCAGCAAGAAGTCATGGTGATCTTAGACAAGCATTTTTTCATTCACTGCCATTACTGCAGTGTCTCAGTTATCAACAAAAGGAGAGAGGGATGAAACCAGACTGCATCAGTCAGGTCTGGATCCTTCCTTCTGCTGGCACATTCCACTTTCTTACTCTCCCTTCTCTCCATCTTCCTCGAGACAGGTTTTAGAGAATTTCATTGGTTCATATGATTTGTGCAAGTGTTTTTGCATTTGCATGTTTTGTACAACTACATTTGTATATTCATTTCTTACTGGTCTTTGACCATAATAAAGTATTCATTCATTCATATATTCTTTTCAAGACACTTCATTTCTTCTTGTGAGAAGTTTCAAACCAGCACCCTCTCACAAGTAGGCATCTGAAGAAGGGCATTCGTGAAAGACAGTATCTGGAAAAGTTTCTTTTTGAACTATAACTCTCCAAATTCACAAGGGAGCATGGCCAAATGAGGATTCAGAGAGCCGTAGTAACTTTTCCATGCTCTTGTCTTAATTTGTGAGAAAGTAAATAAAAGAAGATCATACAAAGTGCTTCTGGTTAATATATCTGGGTCATATCAATCATTCTGGTCAGACTTTGATTGAGAAACTATTCCACTGCACAAATCATACTTACTTTAGTATATATTCATACTCTTTACTTATTTTAACTAAGGATCTTCTTACCCTTGAATGGCCATAATAGTGAGCCAATAACAGAAACAAAAGCACTACTTGCATCCTGAATTATCTTCTGTTTACTACTGTCTGCTGCAAAATGGAGTAACTATTTTACACAACTAGCTAAACCCTTGAACACTCTCCTAAATTTATGTCACACAACATATCCATGTAATCTGCCATTCACATTGCACTATCAGACTTTCAGATCTAATTTTATGCATACCCTTTCAACTATTTATTGGCTGAAAGATATCAGGCATACTAACCCCTCTAATTCCTTATTGAGCTGGTCACAAAAAGCATTAATGCTGTCCCATTGCAGATCCTTGTTTAGAGGATTTGTAGCTCTATCTGAATTAAGAGAGAAACAAAAGCCTTCCATGAATTTTTTTTCTTGTACACAAAACTAAATAACAATAGACATATTATCAAATTTCTCAGATGGCCTTTGTCTGCTGTATCCCACAGAACGGAAGTAAGAAACGTTTTTTTGCAAAGATGTCACAACATACAATGGAAAAGAACAATTTGAGAGACCATGATGCAGTAGAACAGCACATATTGCAAGTACTTATGATTCTGTTCCAAGCACTAAGACCTGGGAGTGCTATTGAAAGTAATACAGAGCAGAAAACATTGAGCAAACTGGCCTAGATTTTTGACTCAATATTAGGCAGCTTTATATGATTATTAATGGAATATTAGAGACTGAAACATACAGTGCGGGGAAGCAACTAAAGCTTGGCTCCTCAGTCCACTGGAAAATCTACATTTGTAGGTTCATCAATTTATTTTACTAAATAGCAACAACAGCACATATTTATTTTCAAATTAATATAAGAAAAGTGCCTAAGGTAATCTGTCAGGAGATATCTTCTTCTACAAAAGCCAAGAAACATGTTTTGTTTCCTGCATTCAAATTAATATAAGAAAAGTGCCTAAGGTAATCTGTCAGGAGATATCTTCTTCTACAAAAGCCATTTTGTTTTCTGCGTGAACTCTGCAATTTAACATCCTTTCCTACATTTTATTTATTTGTTTATTTAAAATACATTTGCCCCATCTTTCTCCTCAAACGGACAAGGCGGCCCTACATGGCTGTAGAGAGTGCTTTATCATGTATGTCTGGACTAGAACAATATACTGTAATGCAAAAAAGTTTCTGTATAAACGGATACATGTGCTGTATAAATAGGCAGCAAGGAGGAAGACAAGGCACACAGGGCTTTGTCACACCTTTGTACAAACTCTCTTCTTCAGGTAAGCAACAAAAACAAAAAGATGAAGTAGACATAAATATTCAGAGGAATGAGCCCACTAACTAAAAACTGCCTCCCTCATTCCGAGAGAAAGAAATAACAGTACAGTACTGTATTTTAGTTTAGTGTGCTGGAGACTTTACTTTTATGCCTCTAACTTAAACACTGAAACGATAACGTAGCTTTCTCTCTCATTTAAAAACCTCTAGGATACTTAAAAACATTTTAACCCCTTTGGCAACTTACAAGGAGAGTACCTACAACATGAGACAGGGGCAAATTCGCCCAAAACTTCTGCACCTGCTCAGAAGAAACCAAAACCAAAGGCTGCAAATCCAGGGATACTAGTTAAGAGGGTTCGCCTCGCGGAGAAAGCAGCGTGGGTCGCACACAGGTGGGGTTTATCCTCAGAGGGAAACCCAAAGGAATGGGAGTAGCCCCTAATTAAGCTGTGCATCAAGTTATTAAGCTCCCAGCCTCTCTCTCTCTCTCTCTTCCGTCTCTGCTCCTGTTCTTCCTAAAGGACTCGAGAAGGGCAACTCTCTGAGGCAACTCTTGCTCACGTCGGAGGCCGAGGGCGGGGTACCGGGGAAGGGCCGGCGGAGGGCGGATGCCCTCCTCGCCACCTGCGCCCCCCCTCGGAGGGGGACCCTTACCCCTCCCCCACTCACTGATCTTCGACTCCAACGTCTCCGTCTCCATTCCGGGCTCCATCTCCGCGCAGCTCTGACGACCCTCCCCCCGCCGCCACTACGACGGCCACCACCGCTGCTGCTCCTACTCCTGCTGTCGCCGCGGCCTCTCGGTTTAAAGGAGGAACGTCCCTGCCGCCCTCCCGTTCGGGCGGCGCGGAGCCATAGAGAAGAAGGTCCGAGAACCGTCTCGTCCAGCAGGACCGCTCTGGGAACTCAAGAGCGACGGAAGTTCTGGCTAGAACGTCCTCAGGGAGTGGTACCAAACTTCCCCCTCCGAGGCATTGAAGTTGCCACGGTCTGCCTAGAACGTCCACCAGGCGGAGTTGAACTCGCCAGCCACCGAAAAGCTGACGCGAGATCTACTAAGTTTGTCTCAGACCCCGGTTCAGCGTAGACCAGGCTTCCTCTCCGTGGGGGAAGCAATGATTCGTTATAAATCCGGAAGTTCATTGCTAGATAGGGTGAGGGCGAAAGCTGTCATAAAAAGCTGATCAGTGAGTGCTTCCCTACATCTCTATGATATGACGCAAGGCGAACGTAGACATACGTCTTCAACGCGATACCATAGAGCGTAATTTAGGTTGATAATAGAGCGTCTTGAGCGTGGTCGCTTATGATTCGTTACCGTAACGTCACGTCAGTTGACGGCCTTGGAACAGAGCGTAAGGAGGAACTTCCGTGCTGGGGCTTTCTTTGCACTCTTGGAGGGTGCGTAGTTGTCATGGAGACGGAAAGTAGTTGGCGGAGGGACTATAATGTCGCAGGTGTTTGAAGGCGAACCCCAATATTTGACTCCGCAAAGTTCTAAAGAAAATGGAGGAAAGCCCGCGTGGGGGGCATCCGTGGCGAAAAGCTGCCAGCACACCCCGCTCAAGATCTTCGTCAGAACCCTGATCGCCGCAATCATTGGCATCGGGGAAGCCCCAGTATCGAAGCTCTGCCCCATTTCCCCATAGTCAGTCCGAAAGGAGGCAGAATTTCTACCCACCTCCATTCTACTTTGGAGGGCCCCCCCACAGCGCTGTGGGGGTGCACAGTGGGCACACCTCTGCCCTATCTCGACCACCGCAGGGCACAAGGTTTGATGTACTGAGGCAGATACTATAGGGAAATGCAGGCTGTTTTTTAGCCGCGTCTGACTCTTTGTGACCCCATGGACCAGAGCACGCCAGGCCCTCCTGTCTTCCACTTCCTCCTGGAGTTTGGTCAAATTCATGTTGGTAGTTTCGGTGAGAGTGTCCAACCATCTCATCATCTCTCCTCCCCTTCTTTTGCCTTCACACTTTCCCAGCATACCACCGCAGGGCACAAGGTTTGATGTACTCAGGCAGATACTATAGGGCTTGACATGGGAAATGCAGGCTGTTTTTTAGTCCGACTCTTCGTGACCCCATAGACCAGAGCACGCCAGGCCCTCCTGTCTTCCACTGCCTCCCGGAGCTGGGCCAAATTCATGTTGGTAGCTTCGATGACACGGTCCAACCATCTCATCCTCTGTTGTCCCCTTCTCTTCTTGCCTTCACACTTTCCCAGCATCAGGGTCTTTTCCAGGGAGTTTTCTCATGAGGTGGCCAAAGTATGGAGCCTCAGCTTCAGGATCTGTCCTTCCAGTGACCACTCAGGGTTGATTTCCTTCAAAATGGATAGGTTTGTTCTCCTTGCATTCCAGGGGACTCTCAAGAATCTCTTCCAGCACCACAATTCAAAAGCATCAATTCTTTGTCGGTCAGCCTTCTTAATGCTCCAGCTCTCACTTCCATACTTCACTACTGGATGTAGTGCAGTAGTACATAAATGAAGGTTATCTATGTCCAAATCTCTGGAGCCTGCTATGCATATGGCATGTAGCCGATCACCTTCGACATCAAGGTCCTTGACATCAGAGCATGATTCAGAAGAGGTACCAACAGTGAAGGCATCTCAGAACCAACACTTGCCATCAAAATCCCCTGAGCTAGAACAGTCCCAGGCTTCTTGGAACCACTGCTTGTTGTCCAAATCACCAGAGAGGAAACTAGCAAAATCCCCTCACAGCTAATACTCAGTTTCAAAAACTTTAGAAACTAAAGGAGAGAAAATTCATAAAGATTGTTCCCCCGGTGCTTCAAGTTCTAGGTCTCCAACACCAAAAGGAGGCCAGTTTCGAGATTTCAAATTGCCATCTCAGGGCTCTAGCCCATCAGGTATGGAACCAACAACCAACCAGTATCAATCTGTTGAACCCAGTGAGAGAATTTCTGGAAAAAGAGCAAAAAACTCAAGCAAAAATGCTAAAAGTAAACTGGGCCTACTCATCTCTGGTACATATCTAAATCCAGATGCTCAAAGCAAAACAATGGAAAAAACCAGTTATGCGAAACGGAAAGAGCTACTCATAGAGGATAATCAAAACTCCTCAGATTTTGAACAAGATGAAGGTTCCTCACTGAAGTCTCCACCTCTGCTAGCAACATCTCCAGACAGTGACACCAACTCTCCATCATCATTACAATGTATCAGTCCTTTCTCCTCAAGCAAAAATGCTAAAAGTAAACTGGGCCCACTCATCTCTGGTACATATCTAAATCCAGATGCTCAAAGCAAAACAATGAAAAAAAACAGATATGTGAAACAGAAAGAGCTACTCATAGAGGATGATCAAAACTCCTCAGACTTTGAACAAGATGAAGGGTCCTCACTGAAGTCTCCACCTCTGCTAGCAACATCTCCAGAGAGTGACACCAACTCTCCATCATCATTACAGCGTATCAGTCCTTTCTCGGATTTAACATCTAGGATGGTGAAATCTCTGCATATAATTTAACCACTGCGCCACGAGGCTCTTGGATTTAACGTCTAGGATGGTGAAATCTCTGCATATAGAGGCTCCAAGACCTCCACTTTGATACCGAGTAAAGATGAAACTACATTTTAGAACTGACAAGACACTAAGAGAAAGTACAGGCCTCAGAAAGACCTAACCTGAAACATTCACACCTAGTTCAAAAATATTTATGGCTGACATAGAATAACAATGTAACTCTTTTCCTTTGCCCAACCACCTTTTTGATATAACAGGTGGCCCACCACTGGAATGCTTGTAGGAGGAAGTCAGCAATGATTGTTGTAACATTCACAAATGATTCACAGTATTGAAGGCCATATATCAGGGCCCAGGAAGAAAACACTTAAACATACCAATAGATAAGGGAAATGGATAATCTTGTCCCCAGACTTTCAGGCACATCTAGGGCCCAGGTCATGGAGAGATAGGGGCACAATATGCATATTTACATGTAACCAATAGATTAACGTAGTTGACATCAATTACCCAATGAGGGAGTGGATCCAAAGTTGGGGTACAATTGACCAATAGAATTGTTGCATTTTATTGCTCTTTGTATCATTATAAAATGTATGTACTCTATATGTTCGGGGTCTTCTTTGCTTTTAAGGGAAATCCCAGCTGACCTTTCTTGCTCTTTGCTATCTAAAATAAAATCGGACCTTTGGTTCAGCTGTTGCGTCTATGGCTGATTCCTTTCAGGAAAACTGAAATCCAAAATTGGCCGGTAACAACTTGACCCTGTATATGATGACATTCTGATAAGTGCTGCCACCTCTGTAATGTTACGATCACTGCTTGCCTTGGTAAAAGAATCCTGGAAAAATCCATCAGCCCTCTCACCAACTTCAAGTAGGGTTGAAAATTTATACAAAATACAAGATGAAGAAGCAGACTTTCTTTCTAAGAGCCCACAACCCAACTCTATCATTGTGGAACCATTCCTTACAAGAGCAAAGAGACACAGTTATACAGCATCAATAACCATAAAGGTAGAAAGTTGGATTCTATTGGAAGGAGAATTTATTCTGCATCAGCTCTGGGAATAAAAATTGCCAATTATCGAGCAGCCATGGCTGCATACCAATTATTCATATGGAAAAAAAACAGCCTCTGCTTCTCAGTCTGCCAGAGGATAAAAGAACTCTAGCACCGACTTACCAGCAAGCGGCACATTCTCTGGCCAAACAACAACTCAACTCTGCACGCCATTCAAACAACTCTGTAGTGAAGAACCTACTGGCAGTTACATGCTTGGCTGATAGCATCTGGAATTTCGGACTATTTTAAGGCTAAGATTGAGGATTTTCTATGGGAAAGGTCTGTTCAATGAAAAACATGATGTGGTGGAAAATCGGTCAAAATGAGAACCATCGCTAAGCCAATGAGCCTCATGATCGCTAACAACAACGACAACACAGACCATTTTGAAGGCAATATTACTTGCATCCTTTGAGCAGATTGCTCTCAGAAAGACAAAGGATACCAAAGACTTTGATAACACAACCCTCTGGATGTGGGAGGGGACTACACCTTCCATATGCCTCACCCATCATATACAGTGGAAAGAAATTGGGCTTTGTGGCCCAAAATATGTACAGGGCCCAAAGTTCCCCATCTGTAGATTATAGAAATGAGAACTAATTTGTGTTCTCAGAGGTCGAACCAGCCTTTGTTTCCTCTTTTTGCACTACTGTCTCTTTGGCATCCTTGGAGCGTGAGACGGTTTTGTTCCCCCTGAGGCAAGAGGAAATTTAGGACATAGGTGGGTTGTAGGAGGCGGCAAGAGGCCGCCCAAAGAGTAACCCACTTGAACTGCTTCTGAGGGCTGTTGCTTCTTGCTTGTGATGTTCTCAGTTCATCATAAGAAAAATCTACAGGAGCAGTTAAAGAGTGTGGGCTTTGATTTGACAGCATGACCTATTCACAACATTCATTTTTGGTGGGAGCCAGTGAGGCGGGCCAGAGGATGGGGCTGATTTCTTTGGCTGACTTTGCTCCATTGTTCAGAAAGAAACTATATATGTATTTGGATTTTTATCTGCTTCTCTCCCCTTCCACATCTCTTGCACTGTTTTTGTTGCTCTCCCTCATAGCGGGTTGGTGTTTTATGCTGTTCTCTCTTTATTTTATGTGATATTTGTATGCTGTCCTGATACTAAATTTTTAAAGGGTGATATAGTGCAGTTATAAATAAGTGGTCTTGCAGCCTAGCCTTTTTATGTACTTGGTTTTTTACATGACAGAGGCTAGCTTTTGGAGTTGTGCTTTGCTTCTTTCTTTTTATTACATTTTTTCCCTTAAGAAACAGTGTTAGAATGGACTACAAAAGATTCAAATAAAACTTTATGGCACAGGGTGAAGTCTTGTATGTAACTTTTGCTGCCCAGTAGAAAGGAGTGGAGCTTACTCCTAACATTTGTTTAACCTCTCCTGAGAAGGAAAACATACTGAAGGGAAAGGTTGTGCATTCTTTTGTTCAGCCACCTCAATGTTAGAAGTGTTTTTTCCTCATTTAAGTGGGTCTTCATAACTAAAAAAATGTAATTTGCTTTGTTTTAGTGTGCAGTAACATGAGAAAGTTTGTTTCAGATGGTTGTCTCAAATGCACATTTC